GTGGAGTATGGATTGATCGGCTGTTTTTCAATGGTCGGAAATCCACTTCCATGCGTGGTTGAATGTATGTCTGCGCCATATTCAACCTCTACCGTCTCATGCACACTTTCCACCAGTCTCCAAAACTCTCGTTCTACATCATCCTCGGTAACCATTCGTGGTTTGTTGAGGACGGGATCGAACGGCATTCTTGATTGGAAGTAATGAGTTTTAAAGTTGTTCGCTTTTTCTTGGAATTGTCGCAAGGAATAAATTTCGCCATCAGCAAAACCATAATCCCCGGTCCCAACCAAGCAGCGGTTGCAATACCAGTCCCGGTCGGGAACGCTTTTAAGCACAGGGTCTAAGCAGTAGGTATGATAGCCATGATCGCAGCTGTCGCAAAGGAGCAGATTGACCATGTCATCACCACGTCCACACTTTTCGCACTTCTATACAAGTATTAGGTACAGCGATAAAAAGTGTAGAAATGGAATAAAATATTACCTCGCCTGGATTACTATTGTTACGATCACCGTTCAAGGTTCTGGGCGTTGATGAGGGTCTGTGCAGTGTCATGTGTGATCCAGCTACCATCGGAGCCGGTTCTGGCGGAAGATCAGCAATCGATCTCGGTTAAGTGCTACAACAACCAACTTCGCAGAAACCCAGGGATTCTTCTTACCTTTCTTCAACCGTTTACTTCGTCGTTCGCCGTTCTCTGAATTATCGTCACAATCCATGCCTTTGGCCGAGTCCTTGCTGTCAATGACACCATTTTCCTGGCTAAGACCACGCTTGAGAACAGATCCTATAGCTGATCCCTCGGGCGTGTTTCTTTTGCTAGGTGTGGCGCCATTCTCAATCCTTCTAGAATTGCTAGTCGGCGTCAAGCCTGAGTCCCCTTCTCTTCTGTTTCCGTTAACCATGGTTAGTGGCGTGAAATTGGAAGATCCGACGTTAACAGGTGTGAATCCACCCCCGGTATTGACGGTATTGACAGGAGTAAAACCGCCATTCATTGCGGGAGTTGAGCCGCGAACTGGCGTTGCATCTGTCATGTCGGTATCAGATTTATCAGGAGTGCCTCTCAACGATCCAGCAAGGGTATTCGAAGCCCTGACTGCGGGCGACTCTGGTGGCATACTACCCATCGGAGAATTTATTGACTTATCCAATGGGAATTTTTTGATCGGTGATCCAGCTGGCGAAGGGGTTATTGCGCCCCTCAGCTCGGCCTCAATTTGCTGCTGCACTCCTGGCTTTGCTGATTTGACCCATTCTTCGTAAGGATGGAGATAACGTTGATATGAATTTTTCAGCGATGTTGACAAGCTAGACATAATCTTTCCCGAATATCCCAAATCTCTTCCAATCTCGGCCCATTTTTTATGCTTGCACACCTGGTTAAAACCTCCTCTGATTTCCACCGCCTTTTTCAAGCGATACAAGTCGAGGGGCCGCTTATCGACAGATGGAAACCTGTTCAAATTTGTGCCATGCTGCTTATGATACTTGGACAGCTGATCAAGATAATTTAGGTTTGCTCTAGTGCCTACAGTACGCGGAAATCCAGAGGGATATGATGTCAGTTGAATGAAAAAGAAAAAAAAAATTGGTTGTTGGATCTGATTCATGGAGAATCTTTTTTTAGAAATTGTGGACTATGATTACCTCCTTCTACGGAGTTGAGCTCCTGTCTTCTAGTGCGAAAATGAAATCGCTAGTCACACACACACAATGTTAGCAAAGTCCATCCAATTTCTATCCAGCGAAACAAATCTAATGATTCAAATGTTTATAAAATAAAGTCGTTGAGCTGAATAAGCGACGACAGACGCAAAACAAGAGAATGTGCTACAAACCTCCGTGTCCACGGCGAAGTCTGGGTTCCAACTTTCCGGTGGAATAATTTTGCAAATCCCATATTTTTTCCCTTCTTCCGAGATGCTTTTGATGTATTCGATTGGGTCCTTCCATTGCTCAAGTGTTGGTCTGTAAGTCGGTGCCTCCAAGAGGCCATGAGGTCGAAATTTCTTTGGTCCTTCTTTAGTTGCAGAACCCCTCCTCTCCACCGTAGACATATCCAAGGCCTGTGCCTTTCGAGAGCTCAGTGGAGCGGATTGATAGCCGCCGGGTCCAGGGTGAGTGGTCGGGATAGTTCCTCCACCTCCAGGACCGCCAGCTTTCATTCTGGTCGAGGGTGCGCGAGGTGACGGACGTGCCGACGAGGCCGCCGCTGAAGACGACGACGACGTAGCAGCAGCCGGCATTACGCAAGATGTTGGTTTGTTTATTCCGTGGTGGGAATGGCTTTAAGGTAGATAAGTGTTGGGTTCGATGGGGGCGGAGGCGGATGTAGATGTGGGGTGTGTCGGTTTCTTATATGGATTGGGGTCTGGAGGGAGCTACAACAGGTATGTATGCTAGTTGCAAGCGTATTATTGCAGGACTGCCGATGTTCATCCAAGCCAAGCATATGTATGAACACACAACGGGGAAACGGAACAGCTACAATATACCGTCTAATATCGTAGATAAATTGTGGGGTGGGATATTTTTGTTCCTCATGCACTCTAGCAAGTGAAAGAGCTACCTGACCGTAGAGACGGTCGGGAAAGTGGGAGTTGATGGCGAGTTGGGGGGGGGGGGGGGTGGGAGGGAACGACGGGGCAGAGGAAAAGAAAGAAAGAAAGGGAACGGGGACAAAATCGGGGAAGAGATCAGACTGAGGAAATACTACAATAGCCTTCGTCCGTCAGGGATCATGTGTGTGGCTGTTATGTATGTATGTGTGTGGTTATGAGGTGGGTGGGTGGAGGGGTGGGCCGTTCGTAGAAGATATGGCTTTTCCTTGCTGACAGCCGCCCGGGGGAGGATGGTTTGATGGTTCGACGAAACAAAAAAAAATGATGTATGTAGGGTAGAGAGAGAGAGAAAGAAAGGGTGGAGAGAGAATTATGTAGGTACAAGTGGGTACGGTAGAAACTGAGGCAACAGCAGTAGCAACAGCAAGTAGAAAGCGGATGCGCGGCGAGATCCCTTATAAAACCACCCTTGGGGGCAATGGGGGGACAGAGGCAGTACCTAGCACTCACTAGCAACAGCGGGGGGTGGGATATGATTATGTATGTCTGTGAGGAATTGGATGTATGTAAGTGAGTGTAATGGGTTATGATAGAGAGGGAGTACTGCGCGGGCGTCTTGCGCTAACCGCGTCCACTTCCTATTGATTTATTAAGTGATAAAGACAGGTACTATCATGTATCTTGAAACGAAAGTGAGTAACTAGGAGAAAGCGCGCAGAACAAAAGGAAGATGTAGATAGGGCAGTCGAGGAGAGGAGAGGGAGAAACACCACAGCTGCAACACGCGCGAAAGAAAAAAGATTGGTAGCACCCAAGGCACGCATTCATGTATCATACCATCATCCATCATCCATCCATCACCATACATGACATGTACCGATACACACGCACATGATACAGACATTCTTTACAACATGTATACATGTAACTAACACTCTGCAGTGATGTATTCCCAGAGTGAATAAAGATCAACAACTTCACGATTTTGTAAATTTTTTTTGGGGGGGGATGATGTATGGCCACTGTACTTTTACAGATGATTCGGCTTGTCGAGAGTACTTAAATGTATACCCGCCGCTAAGGTTTAGTGTGAAGAGCCCCATCCATATACATGTAATCACTACCAGTGATTAATACCGATCTAAAAAAAAGTAGAGTAGACTGCGGAGAGGAAAGCAATTGGAAAAAACAATTCACACTGGTACTGTACAGCGCTGTAGGTACATTACATACATGTTTGTTAAACAGCTGGCGAACGAACAAGAGCAAAGTCCCAGCAGTGAATTCCACATGCGTCAATGAACCAATGGCCATCCCATATTCGGTCGGTGGACGTTGCTGGACTCCCAGATTCAGCTAGCACTATTCCGCTTTCTGACCGCCGCAAGCGATCTTGCTCTAAAATTCTAGATTTTGAACCAGACCAGATTTTCATAACCAGCACAATTAACCACAACCACACGCCCCCCCCCCCCCCCCCGCGGCCGCATTCTCCCCTCCCCCCTCCCCCCTCCCCCCCCCAGGATACTTGTACCTTTAGGATGTGGTATTTCGAGACGTCGGCCGTCCGCCGTCGAGGAACTGACCCACTGTCCCAATTACTCTCCGCTTGGCTCCCAAAAAGTCCTCGCCCGTTTCGGTCACCATGGGATCCTGTGCAGGGCGCCGGCGATCTGAGACATCCATCCACACACACCTAACCTACCCACCCATCAGCGCTGACGAGCAGCAAGCAGCAGAAGCAAGGAGGTTGGACGCAAACAAGATATGACCGACGTCAGGTCGCCATCCCGACTTCACCTCTCCAACCTCTTATTTCAACCTCACTCTTCGCCCCCGAACTATTAATCATGCACGCCCATTCGAGTACAACCCTTTGAAACCAATTAATGTTTGTCGTGGATTTTATCCGAGCCGCGCAAGATGAAAATGAAATCCACAAAAATCATGTTAATTAAGCGAACCATACAAAGGAACAAATCCTACATACACAACATACACGTACATACTCTGTGGTGCTTCAGCCTTCATTCCCGACCGGCATTTTATATATTTATTTGGCCTGCTTCCCGACACCAATCCTATGTCTAGAAAAAATAAAGACACGTTCTTCAGTACCCTGTCTCGATTTCGGACTTTGCCCCCTCTGAGACATTTTGATTCATTTATAAATTCCCCGCGTCGGCTATCGTGCTCCTCGGTACTCACACTCTTAGAACTTATGTAGATTTAGCTCTTCCCTCCAAATCATTCCGTATCTTATGCGTCGCATACTAATATAGGATACACGGTTCATGCGATGTGGAAGCGGAGGAGTAAATATATATATAGACAGGATAACTTGGCTGTCGTCACCCCAATATCAAAAAATACATAGCCGTAAATGAGCAGAGGCTGGTAAGATAATCCCCCAAGAGCTGCATACACATATTCTCAATTCTTACTCTTTGAGCGGGGCTCCCTAGGCCCAAAAGGCTCCCATGCTTGATCAAATCCAGCACCTCTTACCCATGCACGAGGACCCCCATTGCAGTCACCTAGCCCTTCAGCGCTATCGAGACCTGTATATGTGTCAGCAAATTCTAATTAATATCTTTGATGGAACAAACTAACTCATAGCAGCAATCTTCCTCCACATGTTACCCACGACGGGCAAATTCAACTTCTCGCCATATTTTGCATCGAGCCTCTCGCCATATACCAGGGACCTGATAGTTTTGATGGTGTGGCCATCGTCTTCTACGTGGATTGCACGTCCAATAATATCAAGCCATGGGTTTCCAACACCGTCCTGTGAGACCTTTGGTTCATAATTTTTAATCTCGTCCGCGTGGAGTACCGGCGCACCGACTGCAACATAGGTGAGTATGTCAAAACGAGTCTTCCACTCTAGGAGACGAGCCTTGCTCTCTGAAGTTATCCAATCCTGGGCATTAAAGACCGATATGAAGATGGCCGTCGTCACACAGTGAATCAAGAAGAAATCCATTCTGATCTCCTTGTCCTTCCGCATAGCACCGCCAAGCATAAGAGCTTGGGGGCATTAAAATTAGCTCGATATATGCAACTAACGGGGCTCAACCGGAAGCTTACCCGCTATGTTGTATGATTCGATAGTTTTCTCGTCGATCTTGTCAACAGGTACTCGGTACTGTTTGGCATATAAAAGAATTGGGTCCATTGAATTGTGGAGAATGGTTGAATAATAATCGAACATCTTCCTATCGGTGCCTGGATTACGGAAAATCGGGTCATTTTGGACCTCGTTGAGGATATCTAAATATGGCTTGTCGAACTCCTTCAAGAAATAAGTCACAATGCCTCAAGATTTGGAGTGATACCAGGATACCGTACCTTGTCGTTAACATCTTTGGCATCTGCTGAAAGGCCTTTGAAGAAATCTGCTGGCCAGTCACCATTGCACGCCGCAGTAGCAAGCCCTGCCGGAACTAGCGCGGGAATATCGAATTCCAGCCCGTACCCAATACGGATGATTGGATGATATATACCTATGCCCCACAGTCATTACCAATGCTCGTCAAATACCCCGCAATGTGCACTCACCGCCAAAACAACGGGTCAGAAGGTCATCCGAAGCCTCCGTCCCCGCAAAGAGTCTCTTGTTCAACATAGCTGGCATGCCAATCTCCTCCATCTCCTTCTGGAAAAAGGTAAGAAAATCAGACCAATACTCCCTGGCGCCAAGATACTTATGCCATTGGCTTTCGTCCGATAGGTCCACGACGATCTCCGGGTGGAGCTCAGGGAGTACATGCTGCACCTCCTTTACACGATTGTATATAGTTTCCAAATCAGCTGGACTGGCCCCAAAGTCGTAAGTGGCCAGGAGGTCGTCAGACATGTGATTCTGGTGGTGTTAGTAACCGATATCTCCAATGTCAAACGCTTCAACAAGGGGACAAACATGAAATCCTAGCTAACGTCAGTATTGTACAGCAGGTCCGCGTAAATGGTAATAAAACATACTGCCACGGAAGAATCCATGGTGTTCGTCTTGGTTCTTCTGCATGAGTTCACTGAGTTTACGAGAGCTCTCAGCGGTGATTCCTGGGAAAGACATCAAGCCTCCCTTCCCTGGAGCTATCGAAAGATCCGCAGACTTAAGTCTATTCTGGACCGCAGTCATTGGTGCCATTGTGAATGATTTGGAGTGGTTGTGTTTGTTGGTTGTTCTGGTGTTGGATGTGTATGCTCTTCCAAAAGTTAGGCGGAAGCTGCGGATACTTATACTCGCTTTCATACCTACGTCCTTTACAATTTAGACATGCTGAATTTTCAAAAAGGGTATAACTATTTTTATTTTCCCCGCCTTAGAAAGATCATATTGCGGCTGAGATATAATTGCGAGTGACACAGAAGGTGTCTTGAAACCTGCACAGTTAAGGTCAATGCGAATGTCACTGATCAGCGGTTTCTTTTGTTTTTTCCTGAGATTCTTTTTTTTTTTCTATCGGCCGAAGATTTGGTTTTTCCCCGTGATCATCACGTTTTTCCACGATGATCATAAGTATTTCGTCCGATACAGTCGCACCTCGCTATGCCGGGCGGCCAAGATTCACCAAATCCTGTACGGGATAGCAAATATTCCCAAGAAATCCGGGATAGCAAATTGATTTTACGGTAGAAAAATTTAATTCTCAAGGAATTTTATACAGGACAGCAAAGGATCCGGCATATTGAGTTCCGCCATAGCGAGATGCAACTGTATACTGGGATGGTACTCTGAATACGAGCGTCCCCTCCGATGACTTCACTATAATAGTAGACGTACGATTTGGGGTCTAGCAGTATATTGGACTTATATTGGTAAAACCGAGCTTCGGCCGAGTAGTACCCTTCTAGAGCTTGAAGGTTTGTAATAACTTGACCGAGTGACAATGTGTGATCGACAGTATTACACGACACCCCCATGAACCCGTACTAGATTCTTTGGACATCCTCTGGCAAAGCGTCTATCAATTCATATTCTTGTTGCCGGTTGTCCTATAATTGCCGTTTATATATTTATTTGCTTTTGAGAAAGCTGTCAGCCGCGATAATACTACCTACATGTACACTTTATTGTGGACGCAATGGTATTGGACACTGTCCTATAAAAGGGCAACAAGTTCGGATCACACGATTAAGGCGATACTCGAGTCGGCTCTTTAGAAACAGAATATACGCTACCGTTTCTCTGATTTGCAAACCATATAAACCAGAGTTCGCGCTCCACAGATCGCCCCAAGCCCAAATAAATGATATGTGATCAACCTCCGACATCCGCCATCTTTCCCCGGCACCCTTGTAGCATCTGTAAACCACTCTGGCAAATAGAATCCTCAGGCTTTGAAACAACATACGTATTGAAACATGAGAAGAAAAAAACCTGGACTCCGGAATATCCAAATCCACTATAGAGATGGCTATACGGCAAGAAATATATCTTGAATAATCGTACGACGACGAGGACGACGATGATCTGTATACTAGGTAGTCTTTGAGCGTACAGAAAAGCTTGATGAGCTCCATTGCTTCGGAATGTTGACTAACCATACCGTACGAGATATTGGTCCTCCTTCTCTCTTTGGAATGTTGACTCACCATTATAAGATGTTGAAGATCGTAGCATCCTCATGATTTCCCCACAACGAGAGCTTCGAAATGTCAGCCTCAGCGAAAACACTAGCTCCAGACCTCGTTTTGATACCAAGCTTCTTACAAACCAGGGGTGTAATGTAACGAGGCCACGCTACGGTCTGGGCCCACCACCCGTCTCCCGTCTCACCACCCTTCCCTTCCCCCCCGCACCCCCCGCCCGCGACGGCGGATGAAAGTTGTCCCGTCTATCCGACATGCGAGGCGGCTCGTGGATGTGCCGAACGGTGGGGTGTGTAGAGCGAGCTCAACCAGATATAGGAGCTTGTTGCCCCAAGTTTTGGGGAGGGAGGCTTGAGTCGTGTCGATCTGGTCAACTTATTTACGCATACCTACATGTAGGTACTCGCCCTACCACGTCTGCCTAACTTTATTACAACCTATGTGTGTGCATGACGATGACCCGGAGAGATGGGTTCAGCAAGAAAAAAAGGTATTACTTCATCTATCTATCTATCGAGTCAAGCGACTACCACTATCTTATCCAGATTATTTCTGACACTTTACAGGGGTAAATAAGATCTAGAAATAATGGAGGGGTAAAGAAAAAATACAACCGAGCTCTCCCCTCCTGTTCAAGATCTGCGGATCATACAAAAAAAGAAAAGAAAAATAAGGATACAACTCTCCTGAGCTTGGTTAAAGCTTCGGAACAACACAACAGTTAACAGTTACAGCATCTACCCATCGAAAAAGAACAAAAAAAAAAAAAATAGGAGATCACGGGAGACAGAAGTCATCCAGTAAAGAAAATGGAATAAACGCCATGGCCTGATAAGAGCGCCCCACGATCAACAGAAAGCAAGCAACGAATCCACAAAATACTCCGTACCCAAGCAACCGAACCAGCAAATAAGACATCCCAGGATTAAGTATCAACGAAACAAATAGGAAAAGATGGCACCGACGAGATGATGCAGTGTCGGGACCCATATTCTAATAGATGTTTGGAAATATGTGGGTATGGCAGTGGCAGAGGAAGCTTAACGGCAACAGTGGTGGAGACTAAGCTCCTTTTTGTCGGTATGGGCACTACAGTGGAGATGTCAGTAAGAATCTCGGAGGATGAGTAGCTGTTTAAATACAGCGAGAACTAACCCATCGAGACTATTCCTCCTGGAGGCGGGAATGGCGAATGGCAGGGTGAGGCCAGCCTGGAGATGAGAGAGATTGTTAGTAAGGATGGACAGAGTGAAGGGAAGCAGCAACCGCAGCGGTAAAGCTCAGATAGAGCTCGGGCAAGCATTGAATAAAGAGCACGAAGCTACAGGGAGCAGCAGCAGAGATAAAAGGAGATAAAGGAGCAGGAATTAAAATGGAAACTTACGATGATATAGCCATACATGACAAAGGCCTTGGGAGAAGTTGGGGAAGTGGAAGCGCGCTTGGAGAACATGCGCACAGTCTGGAATGGAAGCGACATTTCTTTATTATTTGGTAGAGAGAGGGTTACTAGGAATGTATTTATTCGGAGGCCGTAAAAGCTGCAGTAAGGGCAATTGACGAGTAAATCGATGAGATCTGTTTGGTTTTTGTGGGGGAGGTGGAGAAGGATGAAGGAGTTTAGGAGCTGTGTTGCCTTTAAGTGTTCCCACAGCTGCTAAGCTCACAGCGAGCTCGTCTTCATATCTAAAGATCAGATTATAGAAAAGGGATCTTCGCAACACTAGCGAATCACAGGCTAGGGATTTCAAAGTGATTTTCGGCGTTCCAATCCTCATGCGCGGCGTATTCTGGGGTACTTAGGGGGTTACAGCCTGTGTGAGTCGACACCTAGCGTGAGGAGGGAGCACGCGAACAACATCCGAAATGGTGCGGGTGGTGAGCTGACATTTGGGGCTTTCTTCCGGAAGAATCCATGGAGGAGGGATGTTATGTAAATACAAGCAACCAACGCGGCGAAATGGACTCAGCCAGCCAGCATTAACTGTGTATATAGCCAGCCAGTAGATAAGATACATGAACCCACCGAGGGAGTAAACAAGGGAATCAAATCTCACCTTAGGATGCATCTGTAAAGTACTGCGGTACTACATCGAGTAGGTAGGTGTGGGTTAGGTGAATACACTACCCTGCCCTGGCATGCTTTGGCGGTACCTGAGCCAAAAAGGGCGGAGAACAAACGTGGATAGGGGTTCGTCGGATGATCCCCGTGAATCACTCCACGTCGTTTCACTCGGTAGCGAAATCAACAGCACAAATAATGAAAATACAAGCTTAAGGTTCCCCAAATGCTGAACCCTGAAGATGGATGATGTGTATGTATTATTGTACATACATGTATGCTGGTACAATTTATGTGCTCTACCTCAACGATTGTGGGGGTTGCATATATGACTTTGTAGGCGAGAAAAAGTGGAATGATAATTGAGGCAGCGAGTGCATTCTTATGATCCTGTGCAGTGCTTGAGGACGCCGTGGCGGACACCTGTGTGGGTGTGGTGGACTACATAGATGTAACCAAACTGGGTTCTGCAGACTACCGACTCCACAAATCGGCTTTTACCGAACCTCACTCAACTGAGGATATCGTCCCGAGTAGGTAGCATACCTTCCACCACCCCGCCAAAAAAAACAAAATAATACTTACACAATAATTATTTGCTTCTTTAGAATATTGAGCCTTGTTTAGAGACTTCTGAAACGAGGCTCTGCACAAATATCCGGCCGCCGGTTTGTTTGATTGCGAAGAATACGTACGTCCTCTACAGCTACATAGCACTTGCATCCCCCGTGGGAATTAATCCCGAGCCTTGCAATTGCTATGGCCATGGACGCCGAAGCAAGGCCACGCACCACGAGTATGTACCACTGCGCAGCGCGGGGAGGCTTTAATTTAGATATATTGCTTTGCCTACACTTTCGGGAGCGCTGTTGTATTAATGTCATTTATATTGCTTGAGACCCCCATGCGAGTGATCCTGACGTGAAGTTATGGGCTCTAAAGCAACGACACTCAAGTTGAACTACATACGTGCACCATAGCTACATGTGGTAGGTGTTGCACGTTCAAGACCACATTAAGGGTATCTGTGGGGGGGGACAGCTTCATCCGTGGGGGCCCAACACACCAGACCAAGCTTGAGTGAGATCTCATGAACATAATTTCTGAAGTTACTGTTTTACTCTTTTTTCCGGGTATTCATTATGGCCTACAGAAACAGCAATCCCCCGTATTTTGTACCCACCATCGCAAAATTTAATGTCATAAAATACAGAAGCTAAAGAGAAAAGGAGAACCCATATCCTCCCTGCGTTCTCAGAATTAGTTCTAACACGGTCGAAGCGCCTTTTTAAATCTACGCCTCTAGCTCATCTGCAGGAATATCGTCTTGATCCTTGCCAACAATCGCATTTGACACCTTCCAGCATTGAATGAGATTATCCTCAGCCGCCGAGACCATTACCCATGGGTCGTTGGGGTTCCAAGCAAAGTCCGAAACACGGTTGGTGTGACCTCCGTGCATAAATAACCTGAATAGAAACAGTTTGTTAGAATATCAACAAAGACTCTTGGTAGGCGATTGAACATACAATTCTGGGGGACCATCCTCGGCGTCTTCAGCACTTTGCTCTTCCCCAATTCTCGCCAAGTCCCAGAAACAGATGCGCCGATCAGCACTGCTAGACGCCAGAATAGGTTCCTCATGTGGATGCCAGCTCAATCCGTTCACTTCCGCGTTATGTCCCGCCAAACTGTGGAGCTTGAGCTTCAAGCTCCGCAGGTCCCACAGCGCAACAGTCTTGTCGGCAGATGCAGTAGCGACAACATAGTCTGATGCTGGGTTGAAAGCGATACAGTTAACAGCATCCGTATGTGCAACAACTTTGTGGGCCGCGGAAGTGGTATCTGACGAGCGGACATCAACAATTTGGAGTGTGTGGTCGTCCGATACTGAACCAAAGAGAGCATCATGGCAAGGGTGATAGGAAACGTCATTTACAATCGCAGAGTGATGTGTGTATACGCGGACGGGGGAGAGTTGGGTGTTAGTTTTGGTATAGCTGGTAGTATCCCATAGTCTCACTGTTGCGTCTTCTGAACCAGTGATAAGATGCCCCTCTTTGTGGGGATTCCAGTTCAGACCGTAACCTTCTTTCTCATGCCCAATGAGTGTCATCTGTGGGAGACATGTCCGGGTATTTGCAGGCATCAATGGGTGCTTTGTCTTGTCAAATATCAACACCTTTCCGTCGGCGCACATAGTTGCAATAAGGTCGGGCTTTTGGGGCATGTATCGAGCTTTGTTAACTTCACCCTCGTGAACCATTTTTTGCTGGATGTGGAGGCGACATTCGGCGCCACCACCGTAACCACCGATTTCTTCTTTATCCTCATCGTACCGACTTGGGTCTTGACCTGGAGCTGGAACTGGGTTGGGAAGTTGGACTTCGGCGATTTGGAGGTAGTTTATATCATTGCCAGATGTATGGGTACCGATCAGGAGACGATGAGTAGAGTAGTTCTTGCCCGGGTGTCTATAAAGAGCTGTCAGATCTATTTTTGTTAATTGGGCCCCGGGGGGGGGGGGGGGGTTTACGTCTGTTTATCGGGGAACCATTGTGTGGTCAGTGTTGGCCATTCAAGCGCTGAACTACAGTAGGTTAATAGCTGTGCTCGGTATTCGTGTTTGGGTTCGAACAAACCTCAGGATCAGGTCGTAGAGAAATGGGGCATTCTTCTTCCAGATCTTGTACTCTATCGTGCGCATGTAAGGTCAGTCCCTGCAGTATAATGTACCGCAAATGTAGGAGCCTACCCTCGTTGATGATCTTGTCTACCACAATCTGTTCCTCTCTATCACGGAGTGAAGGGTCCACTAGTGTCCATAAACGTTAGCCAAATTGCTAAATGTTGAGCTTTGAGGACAGGTGAGCGTACTGTCGATATCTTCATCCATGTTTGCCGACATTTTGGAAATGGGTATATAGTAGTCGTATCTTCGTTACTGGTCGTGGCTCGAAATTCGAGTAATCGTCTTGCGTTGTTAATGCGATGATGGTGAGGTTGAGCGCGAGAGCCAGGAAGGCATGTAAGTTTTGGAATTCACGTCGCGTCTCTCAGTTGGTTGCACGAAGAATCACCCGACATCGCCTGAAATGGCAATTTACTAGGAAATACATGGATTATCTCGTTTATTGAATAGATAGCTTTTGAATAAAAATAAAAATACGCAAGATTTATATTAAAGTATATCCGATACATTTATGCCTGATTTCAAGTAGCTCACCTTTTTGATAGATCAGGTGGCAGTGTGCGGCAGACTGATTGCTCCTCTGAAGAAACGCAACGTCACGAATACCTACATACATACACTCAGTGTGACTCAAAATAACACCCTTCCGACGGTGTACCATAACTCTTTGGGATCTGAGTTCGCTACTGCTTTTTTCTTGAATTTGCTCTGTTTCTTTTGTTATCTTTTCTAGGGAAGGAGGGATTATAGTTCACCACCCATCCGCCACTTCACACCTGCTTTGTTTTAGCTGCTATTGCCTTTTCGCACCATCTATATTCTCACGATGGGTGTTCCAAAGTTCTTCAGATGGATGTCTGAGCGCTATCCTACGATATCCCAGCTTATTGCTGAGAATCGTATTCCTGAGTTTGACTGTCTTTACGTATGAAATAAGCTCTCTTTGCTTTGCGAAATGGTCGAGCTTAATGCTAATTTGCGCTTGGTGGCAATAGTTGGATATGAACGGCATTATCCACAACTGTACTCACAGTGACTCCGATAGTCCGACATTCCGTATGACAGAGGAGAAGATGTTCATCGCTATCTTCAATTATATCGAGCATTTGTTCGGAAAAATTAAGCCCAAGAAGGTATTCTTCATGGCCATTGATGGGGTTGCCCCTCGTGCAAAGATGAATCAGCAACGCGCCCGACGGTTCAGAACAGCTCTAGACGCAGAAAATGCGAGGCTTAAGGCAATTAAAGAAGGAATAGAGATGCCCAAGGAAGCTGCCTTTGATAGCAACTGCATTACTCCAGGTTAGTGGCGGGGTTAATAATCATAAGGCTCTTCGAGCTCCGCGGCTAACGATGTCATAGGTACCGAGTTTATGGCCCGGCTGACTACACAACTTAAATATTTTATTAGCAAAAAGGTATCGGAAGATATCGACTGGCAATGTGTGGATGTAATCCTCTCTGGTCATGAGGTTCCCGGAGAAGGAGAACATAAGATTATGGAGTACATCCGCCTGGCAAAGGCGCAACCTGACTATAATCCAAACGTTCGTCATTGTTTGTACGGGCTCGATGCGGATCTCATCATGTTGGGGCTCTTGTCCCATGATCCTCATTTCTGTCTTCTCAGAGAAGAAGTAACCTTCGGCAAGGCCAAGGCAAAGTCGAAGGAACTCGAGCATCAGAATTTCTTCCTAATGCATCTCAGCGTTGTTCGCGAATATCTAGAACACGAATTCCAGGAGTTAAAAGAACCAGGCGTTTTGAGTTTCCCGTTTGATATGGAGCGGGTCATAGATGATTTCATTCTACTAGCATTTTTCGTTGGCAACGATTTTTTGCCCAACTTACCTAATCTACACATCAACGAAGGCGCACTAGCCCTTCAATTCAAGGTTTACAAAGAAATCTTAAAAAAGAGCACTGGATACATCAACGAGCACGGCGTCATTAATTTGGAGCGGTTGTCGCTGCTGTTGCAGGAGCTTTCGGTGTACGAGAAGGATTTTTTTGAAGCGGAGGTTTCTGATGCGAACTGGCTAAAGGGTAAACAAAGAGGTCACCTGGAAGCACTTGAACAGTCCAAGAAACAGAAAAAAGGCAAGCTTGTTATTACGACTGAGCAAAAGGATATGTATAAAAAGATCAAGAAATGGCTCGAAAATAAGCGGAAGGGGAAGGGCACGAAGCTGTTTAATGTCCCTGCAAGCTATTCTGCAGCTGATAGGAGGTTTGTGGAGGAACTTGCTGCATCATTAAGGTTGAAGTGTGAAAGAGTCGAAAACGAGCAGCAGGAATTACACCTGCAGTTAAGCCACTACCCCAACGAGGAAGAAGGATCTGATGACGAAGAGGAGGAAGGTCAAATTGCTCTTTTAAGAGTGTTTAAGACATATGACAAGGCATCGGTAGTAGATGTATCGTCAGATGACGCGAAGGAAGTGATGCAAAAGAAATATGACGCTTTGTTTTATAAGTGGAAGGATGATTATTACAAGGTGAGTACATGTAGTTTCCCCGCTATCCCCGAAGTAACTAAAATTGGATTTAGGAAAAACTTGGCTTTGGTCTTGAAGATAAAAAAGAGATGAGAGATTTGACAGAGAATTACATCGAAGGTCTGCAATGGGTGCTCTACTACTATTACAGAGGTGTAGCATCTTGGCCATGGTTCTACCGCTATCACTATTCTCCAAAGATTTCCGATATTCATAGAGGACTTGGCGCAAACCTGAATTTTACGCTCGGAAAACCGTTCAAACCCTATGAACAATTGATGGGGGTTCTTCCCGATAGATCAAAATCGATTGTACCAGAGGCATATCATGTAAGAGATATTCCATTGTCCTCAGTAAATTGAACTAACATAGTTCGCTCTCTAGTCATTGATGACCGATGAGAAATCGCCCATCATCGATTTCTACCCTCGTGATTTTGAGCTCGATATGAACGGCAAAAAAATGGAATGGGAGGCTGTCGTCAAGATCCCTTTCATTGACGAAACCCGTCTCATTCCCGCTATGCGAAGTGTAGAGCATAGACTAACCGAACGCGAGAAGGAGCGTAACAGCTTCGGTATCACACTGAAGTTCTCCTATTCTCCAAGCGTTGATGAGTTGTACCCAAGTAGCATGCCCGGAATATTTCCAGATATCCCGCATTGTCGCTGCGTGCTCAATGTGTTTGAGCTACCTACGCTCGATGGTTTGGATATTATTGTGGGATTATGCGAGGGCGCCGGCGTCGGACTGGAATCACTTGCTGGGTTCCCAAGTTTGAAGGTTTTAAAACATACGGCGAGTTTGGAGTTTCACGGAGTCAATGTTTTCCAACAAGATAGCAGGAATGAGAGTATGGTTTTAAGGTTGGAGAACGCGTATGAGGGTGGGAAGTTGGAGGCTGCGAAGAAAAAGCTGGGCAAGAAAGTGTTTGTTGGTATGTACTATCTTGCAATCTTTGATGAATCGTATTAATGGTATTTCAGGATATCCATTTTTGCAGGAGGCCAAGGTCACTGCAATTTCAGATGAGTTGTTCAAGTACCAACTCTCGGATGGCCAAATCATGCCTATTCCTCATGGCCCGTATGAAATCGAGGCATGGAAGAAAAAGGCGGAGAGAATGGAGAACGCCTATAGCAAGCGAATGGGTATTGTCATTGGCCCAGTTGAAGTAGTTGTTCATACGAGCATCCTCAAGGGGTTGAAGAGAACCGAGGATGGTGCTATGGTCAAGGAGTATGCAGTGATCCCCGGGATCGAGACAGATTACGCTGCGCAGGCGGTTGTGGACGAGGTTGTGAATGAAGATACAAGGTTCATAGAAAAAGAACCCCTTCCGATTACTGAAGAGTTCCCGGAGGGTTCAAGGGCCTTCTTCTTGGGAGAATTCAATTTTGGAAGGCCGTTAGAGGTTTTTAGACATCATCCAGAGAACAAAGTTGACATCTGGATTTATATTATGGTAAGGATCAAAAAAGCTCCCTATGATAAGATAATAGTTATTAACGTACACCAGAAAGGGAAAGAGCCCGATTTCGGCCAACAAATCGCGCTCAAGGCGGAACAAACAACTCGCTACCTTCCTTCATACACCGTTGCCCGCCAGCTTGGTCTCAACCCCCTTGTTCTGAGTAAAATCACGTCATCGTTCTCTGTTACAGTCGATGATCAACGCTGCAACCTTGGCCTCAACCTCAAATTTGAAGCCAAAAAGCTTAAAGTACTTGGATACTCCCGCCGCGGAGATTCAGGATGGGAATTCTCGGAGAAGGCCATTGACCTTCTCCGAGAATATATGGCGAAATTTCCAGCTTTCTTCAAAGGAGTGATGAGAAATCCCCATGGGGATATATACACTGATACCGACTTCTTTGACCCCTCTGAGAGCAAGGCAAGAGTCAAGGAGATTATTGATTGGTTGAAAACTATCCAAACAAGATCTTTTGAGAAGGTTCCACTAGAAGCGCAACAGCTAGAGCCGGAGGTTGTTAAGGAGATTGAACAAGCAGCTGATGCATACCTCGCCGCCAACCAGGAAGGTGATTTCAAACGCATTTATAATGTTCCCAGAAGGGCTCTTCTTAAGCCTAGCGATGCAGAACACATGCTTCAAAACCAATGGTTCGCCATTGGCGACCGCGTAGTCTATGTTCAAGACTCTGGAAAGGTCCCGATTGCAACTCGTGGTACCGTTGTTGGATTGACACGCACTTCCAGAGCCATGCTACTTGATGTTGTTTTTGATGCTACTTTTATGTCCGGCACCACTCTGAGTGAACGGTGCTCCCCCTTCCGCGGGATGACAGTACCCACTTCATCCGTGCTGAACTTAACAAACCGTCAACTTATCGCCTTTTCAAAAGCCAGCGCTGAAAAGAACCCCACTCCTGTACCCGAGCCTATCTCTGCACTGGCATCCAACTCCAATGGCCGTATTCTCCCCACAGAAGGTCTCAAACCGGCACAGGCTCCAGGACAATTGATGGGCTCCTTCAGTAGTGCTGTTCAAGGAGGTGGAAACAGCCGCGGAGGCCGCGGGGGGCGTGGAAACCGTAGTGGTAACCACACCCCCGATGGAGTCAGTGGTAGAGGCGGCCACGGAGGATCTCCGAGGGGGCCAACAAACATGACTATGCGGGGCGGTCCCCCGGTTATCATGCAAAGGCCGCAACAACATAATCAGCCTCAGCCAAATGGGTCTAATGGACAACCAGGCTTCCAACATCGTGGTCAGCAAGGCGGAAAAGATGAGCAGGACGGGCAACCTCAGGCTGGTAGAGGAACCTATAATAATGTTCCACCACCGGCCGCATTGAACGCCCGCGGAGGGGGAGGAGGAGGAGGGCCCAGAGGAAGGGGGAGAGGAGGGAGGGGCAGAGGAAGAGGTGATAGAGGCGATAGAGGAAATGCGGGGAACAGGAGTACAATGCCAGTTCCAGTTGGAGAACCGCAGTAGCTTAGATGTACCTATATAGCGAAGACGAGCCTCTAATGCGGCCAAATGTTGTTCCTAATTAATATGGTGTAACTACCTAATTAATAGCAATAATTTTGGGCGTATTAAGGGCGCGAAATTCATATAGGCATTATATCCAGATTAAATGAAAAAGATATTTGTAGTTGCCCAGCTCTATGGCTACATTTGTACGTGCATTGAGAACCTTCACACCACATCACTCGACTCGTTGACTTAGCCGCGTAATACGGCAATTGATAATTTTGCGACCAGGATCCTGGCTGAAGTAATAATGTGCAGGGATTAATTCTTTGCTTGCTTATGAAAGTACCTGTAAGTACTATGCCCTGCATACATGTAGGTACTCTGCTCCGTTCTCTGGATAGACTAGCAATGCAGAGCTTCAGATTCCGAAAGCTGAGATGAGATGACTGCGCGGGGGCTGTGAACGAATGGTGGTAGCGAAACACCACTGCATGTTCTTGAAACCTTCTTTTACGAGGCTGATCTTTGACAGTGAGTGCGTTTGTGACGGTCGCCCTCCCACGGAGGAGAAGTATTGGTCGACAGTTAGTAGGACGCATATGCAGGGTCCTGTACTAGAGCAGAGTAGAGTGCCCTACATGATGTACTCTTTTTTTTTTTTTTTTTTTGTTTAATTCATTAATTGCATGCAACTCACATGATGTACTCTACGTACCTACATAAACGGATGACGACTAGCAGACAGGGATGTCGGGGGATGGGATTGAGGCAATCAATGATCGTGAAACTTGCAACAACATGAGTGACCATGTACCAGCCAAGTACATGTAGCTAGGAGGGGGGTGCGAGCAGGGTGTTGATGGGAGACCTAGGTACATACTTGTAGCTGACAGGCAACATGTATGTTCAGAATGTCGGACCCTGCGATCCTGCTTTCCTTTTATTTTCGGGTTTTACTTTCTCTGTTAATTCTCGGGATCGTGCTTCTCGATCTGGTTTATTCGCAGCTTGATTGTAGCACATATTCTGGCTGTTCTCAGCGGCTACGATACGAGTTAAAGGCGGGGATCCGGAAAAGATACCTAGGTGGGCTGTAGATTAGGTCCCTCTGTTGCCTTAACCCCCCCTCCCCTCCCCTCCCCGGATAAGTACCTCTACGAAAGAGTACATACTATGGTCATACCTGCCCACTCACCCCCTTCGATGGTGTTTCAGAAACGGTAAATAGGAAGTTGCGTTGAACGCGCGGTGTTCCCTGTGGCAAGCGATCCAGGCAAGGGATGTCCCCTGCCTTGAGGGGGCATGTTTGTGTGCGCCCTCCCTGCCCGCCTGAGATGTGGACTCTCTATATCTACATAAGCTGGCCCCCAAGGGTTTTCAGTCGGATTTTTTTGTTTCTCTTCTTACGTTTTTTTTTTTTTGCTTGCTGATCAATCGGGATTGCCTGCTCTCTCTTTCTATTAGCCCAGCTAGACATCCATCACTTGCGATTACATACGTAGACATAGTAGACAACGTTGCAGTATCATTCTACGTCCACATACCACCACATATACAACAATAAAGACATCATCCATCCCTCGAGTCGGTTTCTCAAACACTCCACTCAAACAATTCATCGAATAAACAAACCATCAATCTCCGAGATGCAGTTCCTCCCCCTCATTCTGACCCTCGTGGCCACCCTCTCTGCAGCCCAGGCTCAAAATGCAACTACTACCTGGTACAATACCACTACATCCACCTCCCCCACCACCGCTCTCCCCGAGACCACCACAGCAGCGGCCAATACTACTGCTGGCCGCAACACAACCGTCGTAACTTCCTTCATCACGAGCGTCCACAGTGCATCTGCCACCGGTTCTGGAAACCTCTCCACTACTGCGACAACGGTGGTTGTTGTTGGACCGAGCACTACTGCGGCGTCGGCATCCGCGAGTACGACTGCTACCAGTGAGTTGGCTGGCAATGGAAATGGTGCCGGTGAGCTTGGGAAGGTTGGAGGCTCAATGGGCGCGTTTGCGATTGCGTTGGGAGTCGTGATGTTGGGGCATATTCTGTAGTCAGTGGGCTAGAGACACTTAAAGAAAACTTGAAAAAGGAAAAAAAAATGTTTGCTGGATTGGAGCACTGTGTACAAATCGCGACTAAGCGGGTATTGATAGGCTTGGGTTAGGCTGAGTTATTTAATGATTAATGGCTTGGGCACTTTTATTTTTTCACTTCTCTGTGGTCGGGATCATAGAGGGAGGATGGGATTAGTAGCCCGCCGAGTGTACTGTACAAAGGCGGATTTCTTTTTTTGTATTAACTGGCGCTTTTTTGAAATTATTAAAGTTTGCTTTTTTCTATTATATGCGAGATCGTTATCTTTATCTTAGACTGATCTCGGTACTCATCACTACTCGTATTTCTCTGACGTTTGTGGACGCGACTGATATTGCATGCCATACAAAAATACGCCAAGCTCATGATTTTGGGTGTATGCAATAGTAGAGTAGATGCCTCGCGGCTGCAGTTTCTTCCAAGAAACTGCCAAGCAGGGAGGGCACACAACGCACTTTGAGACAGTCAAGTAATAGTTTCACAGTTACAATACTCGAGTGACGGTGACAGAGACTTTGGGTGTGTGACAAGTTGCCGAGATTTCGGATACTCGACACTCATATACATGTAGTTAATTTTCTCCTTGATTCATGCACTTGCAATTGAATGCAGGCAGGAACCGACACACAGCGGCGAGACGAACCTGGCCCAAAGTGAAGGCAGCCGCCCGCGAGGCACACACAGACATGTTTGGTGTTTATAATTCATGCGACAGATTGGATGTATTATGTCGGAGAGGTTTGTTATGATTTGTTAGGGATGGAGTTAGAATATGGTATGTGTGGGTTGGTGGGTTGTCGAGTGATTATTGGTGAAGGCAAAGTCGAGTGAGATGTAATGCTCAGGAAGGTTGGTTTTGTTACTGGCTCATATATTCTGCGCATGCCCGGCCGGGACGGTTGGGTTGAGACTTGCAGAAATCTGCACTTAGTAGTCACTTCTGCCTTCCACAACTTTCTCTACTGCGCATGTTGTTCTTTTACACCAAGTCAAAAACACATGCAGTCTCAACGGAAGCCAACAAGCGTCAAGATCTGGCTTTTATACCTCACTTTCGTTTTATGACCGATCCTTCCTTCACGTCCGTTAAATTTCTACGCCAAAACTTTAGGTTTCTATTTTAGTTAACTTCTTCAACTACATAATCCTAACAAGCCATCGTCGCATAAATGCCAATTAAGGATGACTATGTTCACAAACCTACTACAGGAGTTCGCTTCAATGGTTCAAAAACATCATATTGTGGACAGTCTTATCCAGAACCTGTGTTTACCTTTAGTTCGGCACTTTCTCCCCCGACATTCGCCCCGGAGAGTATCATGAAGACATTGATCAGCTCTATCGATGCGTTGCCGTTTTCAGAATGCGGGTGTGTTAATTTATATGTTTTTTTCTCATTCATTGTAACTCACTTCATAGGTCCATCAAACACAAACTACTAGTCGAGGAGCTCTGTACCTTCGTTGAAGACATCGACAGCATTCATTACGATAGAGGGGGCGAAAGCCTGAGATCCAAGTTGATGAAGCTAGTTGACGGGTTTAATCATTGGGCCCCAAAGCCTCCGGTGAGACCAATTAAGCTTAAGAGTATTATCGGCCCCCCTGGGGTACATGCGATCATCGAGGCCCCCAGTGATCTATCAAGACCCTTGGTATGTTCCTTTGTTTATCACTGGTTTACCATGTTCTACTTATTGATATTTTTAAGGTTTTCTATTATCCTTTGAAAGGAGAAACCTCAATTGAGAAAGCCTTTTTTACCAATGGATCGGCCGCTTATCCTGTGCGATATGAGTCTGTTTGGAAGGGACTTACCGACGCTAAGGCCGAGGATATTTGGAAATTGTACAAGGCTGCGGAACAAATACTTGTCGGCGAAGCTAGAGAATACTCTAACGTTCGTCCATACACCTGTGGAAAGAAAAAATTACTTTTGGATTTACACCACCGAGGCCTTTCTTTAAACATTGAGCCGATTTGGACAGGATTTGAGGAGCAATTTTTGAATACTTGTACCTCTCTTCGCTCGATGCAAACGACCATCGAAAGATCGGATGAATTTCTTCCGGAACGCTGCTACAAGTTTGACTTTGAGAATTGTGGAGGCTGGGAAGCGTATAGATTTTGCCGTTTCATGCGTCAAATCGTGGTCCCGATTGAACAGACGGTTGGTATCGTCTCTGGGGAAAAGGTTGTAATAAAACCTTTGCTCTGGGATCCACATCAGAGCTATTATTCCCTGAGAAATAAGACCACCTGGGGCCTCTATCCTACATATCTTGAGTGGGACGAGAATACAGAGAGCTTTACCGGAGCGATCAAACTTGCATCAAACTTCCCTGAACGTACTCACGTGGATGTCCGCTGCGATATCTACGCAAGAACTTCAGAGACTCTTCCAGTGGGGGTAAGATTCGAAACAATCTTAAAATCCTTTATTACTTTACGTGTATACGTTCCTGCCTATAAAGCTCCGAGAACAACCCCCACCAAATCAGAAAAAGTATCAAGGCTGGATGACTCCTTATTATCTACGGGCGAATATGAGAAAAATTCTACGTTGGATCAAATCGTTCAACATAAAGCATACAAATTTTTGCAAAGCTCCAGTCACCCGCCGCTGAAATTGACTGTATATAGAGCGCAGGATGAGGAGACATCAGTACCATCAGAAAATGGGGCCTCTCATACTGATCACAAACCGATATGCCCGATGATTAGTGGTGGTTACGGTGGTACTAGTCCTATGTTTAAACAGCGAAAGATTAAACATGAAAGCGAAGGTATTCTTTCGTTACGCTGGGACCCCGAGCAATGGTTGAGCATCGTTTTTCGCATTGAACCTGAGGGAGGGGTGGAGTGGAGATCTATAAGTAATTGGGAGGTCATGTCCGAAAAGTCTGGAAGCGATTTGAGCGAGAGCGACGATTCAGTTGAGAAAGACGAAGAGTCCTTGGAAAACAACTTGGAACAGATTCAATACGTAGGTCAGACCGTTTGTGCGAGGAAGCTTAAAAGTTTGTGAGATTAATATAATATCTATCTAGGAAGGAGATAACCTCACCCTCGGTTTGGAGGTTGAACTGATATTAACAAGAGGGGTAGGTCGTTCTGGTTATGAATTCTACGAAGATATCTCCGCCATTTTCAATGAGCTACCAAGTGTGAAGGTACAGTCGATAGTGACAAATAAGCCTAGCTCATTTGGTTCAGCTATATTTTCAGCAGATGCAGAAATGAAGGACAGGATGCTCGAGAATGAGAACTTCGAAGGCCACGGCTATCTAGGACTGGGTATCGAGAAGCAACGATGCATTCAGTGGAGAAAACTCACATTGCCCCAAAATTTTGAGATCTTTGCGAGCATTCCATGATGATATCGAGGATGTCATCACGATATCGGTACATATTGGAAAGAAAGGAGGATATAATCTCCAGGAAGTAAAGTGTATTGCAAAGGCAATAATAATTTTTGGGGATCTCTTTGATTACACTAAGATAATGCGTGACGAGAGTGAGCAACCTATGTCTCCCGATTTTGGGTCCAGTCGGCACAACCCATATTCACAGGGGTTTACAACAATCGAACAAATTGACTTGATTGATAAAGCTGCGTCTCTCAGTGATGTTACGAAAATCATGAATCCCGAATATCATGATGTCGAAGAGTACAGGTTTAATTTTTCAAAACTGAAAAGCCAAGGAACAATCGTGTGGACACATTCGATTTCGAAAGCATTAATCGACGGCAGTACTGGAATTATCGCTGGAATGCTCTCAATAAGCACCGCTGCAATGAGCCTTGAGGACGCTTGCTTTGCTGAATTAGCCAAGCACGAAGCTACTTGGGACAACCTGTCATTGCTTCTTGAAAATGACAAGAAGGGCATTGCAAGATTAAGCTTGAATACAGATGAAAATAATACCCCGAAAGCACAGAATTAGTGGAAGAAGATACCGATAGATCACGATACCTATGAGACACTGGTGGGATTTCCTTGCAGAAGTTGTCATTTTATTCTACCCATGCCTTTCCTTTGATTTTCCGGACCTTCTGACTATGATTCACATGGTTGTATGTATTGTTTCGAATTGTTTCAGTCCGGGGGCGCAGAATGCGTGATAAGCAATTGTTAATTCGAGGGGGTGGGAATCAAGTTTAGTTGTTTCAGTTATCTTGCTGTTGAGGTTGTGTATGTATTTTTCATACAATTGAAGGCTCAAAGGCCGGTTTTTATCTTTATAGGTCATTCTCTTTTGAATTCGAGGCTGGGCTAAGAAATAACAACCATTGGTAAGGTCGGGTCCGGTTGATTCCGTGTTTTGCATGTTCTGGATTCCACACCTTCAATTCATATATGGTATCAATTGGCGCCATAGGTACCCATAAAAGTAATTTTGTAAATCTCATATTACATAGTAAATCAGAGCTCAGAAGTTACTACGCGATGGCATGTTGATGGGTCAAATGCATGAATTGAACACAAAGTATGTAGAAGGACCCAACAATTAAGATTACCTACCAACCGAAGTTGTGGGCACATCAAACAATAGTTCGAGTAGAGATGACACCCTTGACTTCCTCACTTGCCACGATCGAGTGTCGTTATGAAAAGGAAAAAAGAAATTATTAATGCACAACAAATTCACCTAACGTGGATCGAGGATTAGGTTCAACCCGTCGGAGATATAAGACTGTCTTTAATGTCCACTACATAGAGACAACTGCACTAGGCCACGGCGGCCGAGGTTGACTTCTGTCTATGAATACCGGCAGCATCCCCGATCCGCATTCTTGAACATATCCACCACAACACAACAAACGTCTTGCCATGCTGGCCTGAGACATTCTAAGATGTCGTTGTGATCAAGAAACATTCCTGGGAGCATTCCATTGGTTCACCGGGCAACTCAATAAAGACCGAGGCCGTGAAGGAATGTATCCTCTTGGGTTTTCAACATACACACAGCTAGCCAGCTAGAATCTCCGGTCACCCAACTCCCAGGGACAGTTTTGTTTTGTATCGTACCGTGGGCCAAGAGAGTTGAAATAAGGTGTGGAATGCGTCCGTTGCGAGATCGGGGTTCGGCGGTTGTGTTGCACAGGACTGGGATCATGAGACGGAACCAGGGCGGTGGAAAGGAATAAGGACGCTGTAATATGGGGGGTGCCGGTTGGTTATTTAATAGGGGAGAGTCGGGATTGTATGGTGGGGTTTTTATTTTTTGTTTCTTTCGTATTGATTGAGTGTTGGGAGGCCTTGTTGGGAGACGGGACAGGACCTTTGGCTGGTGTAGTAATCCCGCGTGGCTTCTCTCTGAGTTCTATAGTAGCAGGCTGCTATGCAGCCGAATGTAAGGATATATTACGAGACTACCGATAAGGGTTAGTTGATACTTAGCAATACTGTATCCATAGCCAGAGAGAACACTCGGCACTGTAGGTACATGTTAAAGTTAGAACAGATATACCAGACTAACTGGTATATCTTCTCGGTTAGCAGACTCTTCCCCTATCATCAATCGAGTCATCTACCATACATCAAGCGTCTCTTCTTCTGCCTCTCCGTGGTTACATAATACAGCCATACTAACAACTACTGTCTGGGCGTGCCTTGATTGCCTAGGTAAATATTGGCTACTGGGGACGTGTGTATCTGAGCACTCTGCTAGTAAGTCTGCCCTACCCAAAAAAGCCCATGACCTTCTCTGTTCAGTTGGAAGCCCCGAAGCAAAGGCCTGTAGCTCAGTTGCTCACTACTCCCTGGTTCCCAGAGCCCTACGAGAAGGAGTAAAGTTTCTCGGAAAAACGTTCATGGAGAGGCCGAAGGATCCTGCTAGGGATATCCTTATTTCCCTTGGGCCCGGATGATCCCGTACGTGCCGGACATCGATCCTGCATTATCGTTTCTTGGGCAGACAGATGACGGCGATACACGAAGATGATGTCTCTTGGCTTTGACCTGCTCAAGTAGGTGTACTGCTACCAACACCGTACAATTATAGCTGCGCACGAGATTGATAATGCTCTTTAGTACCATGGTGTCAAGTGGTTGTTTCCACCAATACACGCAGTGGTGTTACAATTCGTTAAAGCACACTGAACTGGGAACCTTATGTTGGGTGTCTTGATGTTATGTAGGGTACTTTTTCGGATGCGCACAAACAAAACAATTTTACCATCTGCTCCCTCCTCTCCCCCCTTTTCCGGCCTTTGGGGTTGGTTGGGTGGGGAAAAAAGCAAAGCCTCCTAATTCTCCTCGCTATTCCCAATCAATAACATACGGCCGCTGGAGGGGATGTTTCCTGGGTTTCTGTTTGTTTGGCCCAGCTTTATGGCTTTCTCGGCTCCAGAGTTGTGTGTGCTTGCATGCTTGCTTGCCACCTCAGGAGGAAGTTATGGATGGATGGAGCTGGATGATAGAGTACCATGCATTGCCGTCTTTTCTATCGGAGAATATCACTCGGCCTTGGCGCAGCTGAGCTGTGTAGTTTTCACCCCTGCCCTGTCACCGAGCTCAACTTGCATTGATGTGGCTAGTTACTCGACCTATTTTCAGTTCAGCTGCGAAGAGATCTCACCCTCTTCTGGATTCTTCGCCCGATGTGTGAGTATCCAGACAGACTGACAGACAGAAGAGACAGCAGACTGACAGATAGGTGAAATGTGTTTGTTCAGCTACTCTACCTACCGCGCGTTTCGAGGCTGTCTTTTTCTCAAAGCCACAACAAATCAATTTGCGACTGCAGTGCATATGTATGTCATAATCTATTCTCGTACCCGCAGCTGGCTGATGTTCTTGCAAAAGCTCCCTTCTCTCTGCATGATAGTCGCTGATCCTTATGTCATTGCGGTCACGGACCGTTGCCTGCCATACTCTTTTTTACAATGTCACAAACGCCCCCTTCCCTTCCCTCCCCTTCCCCCATACATTCCCCATTTGGTTTCATAATTTTGGAAGCCCCAATACGGTAAGTTCAGGTGTTTCATGTGCCGTCTAGCACGGACGAGAGGGAACGTGAATTTCATTTAAGCATGTCAGCCCGGGGGGAGGGACGCAGTACTCGACCTTCAGATTCCCCAAAAAAGCCCATACTTACTAGCTAGGGAATTTGCTAGGGTCTTTTTTTTTTATTGCTTTGCTCTCTCTCCTTGATCTCTTTTTTTTTTTTTTTTACTCTCACTCCCGACTCCATGTCTTTGTGAACGCCGGCCGTCAACAAACAAACAAAACCTCCCAACGACGCCTCCATGTAAACAGAAACAGAAGAAAGTACAGAAATAAACAGAAACACAAATATGTCTCTCCTTCAACTCCCTAACGAGCTGCTCATCCACATCGGCGAACAACTGAGCCTTCTACCCGAATGCTCTCACCTTAACGCGTTACTGCGGACAAACCGACGGCTCGCCGAGCTGGTCCAACCGCTCCTCGACAAGAAGGCTGTCCCCGTGGACCTCGGCCGGCGGAAAAGGGTGCTCCACTTGGCGGCGGAGAAGGGTTATGAGCGGCTTGCCGGGGCGTTGCTGGAGAATGGAAGTTATGTTGGAGCTCTCGACTGCAACGGGTGGACGCCGCTGCTGCACGCTGCGGCAAATGGGCATGATGGAATAATACGCAAGCTACTGGCGAAGGGGGCTAATATTGAGGCGAAGAGCTACTGGGGAGATCGAGAGACCGCACTTCATTGTGCGGCACTGGAGGGGCAGGAGGCGGCGGTGAGGGTGTTGCTGGAAAAAGGGGCGAAGCTGGATACGAAGGCTCAGTCGAGGTCGACGGCACTACATTTTGCGGTGGAGGGTGAGAAGGAAATGATCGTGAAGCTCCTTATCGACAAAGGGGCTAACGTCAACATACAGAGAGACAACGAAACGGGCAACTACGCAGTACACCTGGCTATCCAGAACGAAGACGAGTCTATACTGGTGCTCCTGCTTGACCACGGAGCGAACCACAAGATGCAGAATAGAGCCGGAGATACAGCTCTCCACCTCGCCAGCTCGGACAAATGTCCCCCCGAGATGATGAAGTATCTGCTGGAGAAGGGTGCGGACTTCACAATACCAAACCAGCGGGGAGAGACACCACTACACATTGCGGCAAAGAGTAATAACACAGAAGCGGTCTTTAGAATGCTCCGGCTGGGCGCCGCAACAGTCATTAATTTCCGGGATGCAGATAACAACACTCCGCTCCTCTGCGTGGCAGCCGGCTCAGACCCAGTCGAGGTCAAGAGAGCCAACTCCAGCAGGTTATCACGCCACCGGTCCTTCGAGCGTCTCCCGCCCCGTCGAAGCAACACGGAACCGGTCCAAGACATCCGGGCAGCGTCACTCGCGATGGAGGGCATCAAAAACGACATCCTCAAGATGCTCCTCGAAAACGGCGCAAACGTCAACCACCAAGGAAAACGGAAACAAACAGCCCTCCACCTCGCAGCCGTAAATGGTTACGAGGACATGGCCCGGATACTGATCGAGAATGGGGCCGACACAACACTCAGGGATGAGAACGGTTCCACAGCGCTCGACCTGGTGGAGGAGTATGTGCAGAAGTACCGCGAGGGCGGCGCAGCGGGGCGTGGCACGGTGCTGGGTTTGAAACAGCTGCTAAGGAGTGACTCGACCCTAAGTCGGCGGGAGAGCGTCCAGGGCTCTCCTGGCCTCCGGGATCTGAAGACGGGGTTAAGTAGGAGGGATAGTGCGCAAGGGTCGCCGGGGCTGCGGGACTTTAGGAGCGCGAGTAGGAGGGACAGCATTCAGGGATCTCCGAGTGGTCTACGGGAATTGAGGAGTCCGCCGCCGATCAGGCCGATCAGTGTTAATGAGATGGGCATGCAGAGGAAGGTATCGAAGCGCTCAGGGCCAGGCATTAGGTTCCCAATTCGGGTGGTGCAGAGGGTTGATAGTTTGGGGCATGTCTCGGAGACATAACGGGCTATATCACTAATAGCGATTTTTTTTCCCGATTTTTATTTTATTTTAACTTGGACATCTAAAGACTCTTTCCTTTATTATTTCTCTTTTTACTAAGTACTCTACCCTGGTGCATTATTTGATTTTCCTTTTTTTTTCTCTTTTTTTACTATGCATGGAAGGTTCTTGTAGTTTACGGGGCAGCTGGGATATATGTCGGAATGCGGGAATAGTCATGTGCGGGCAAGGGTAGGCGGGGGAACCGGCAATGTGGGTTGGCGGGCGGGGCTGCGGCGGCGGTCGGGCGGGGGGGGCCTTTTGTGCTCTTTTTACTCTAGGCTAAGGTTGTATTTCTAGGATTTCCTTTCTTTCTTGGAGTGGGGGGGTAAAATTACTGGAGTTTTTTGTTTTGTCTAGACTTTTTTTTGCTCTGCTTTCTCATCATCATATCGCTCTTGCACGAATGCCATGACGGCGTCCTTTTTTTGTTTTTTGCATCGCGTTTGTTCTGTTGGACTATTACTACTGCTACTGCTACTGCTGTTGCGCTTACTTACTACTACTACTACTTACTGGGTTTCGATGTAACCTTTACTGCTTACTGCTTAACTATTCTGTTGTGTTTGTGTTGGTCTCTCTTTCGAGTATTTTTCTCTCTTTTTTTTCGTGCTGTGGAATAATTAACTTATCTACCGGGCTCACTCACACCCTTAATCCTCCTCCTCTCTAGCTACATGTATGTAGCAATCACTCATTCTTTCCTTAATTCACTCGCATTTACTGTGCTGTACCTACATAAAGATCTAGACACTCCCATAACCAATGCAAAACCGTTGACAATCGAATCAGTGGCTTCTTTGATACATGCATGCACCCCACATCTCGCTTGTCGTGTGTGTCGCACTTTCTGCCTCCCGCAGCAGGGGGTGCTGCCTGGAGTTGCGGTGTGGAGCTGTGGTGCCGGTGGTAGTGGTGGTGGTGTATGTAGGGGAAGGATGGAAAGGGGCTAGTGTATGCTGTTGTGAAACTTATCACTCGATGCTCCACATCATCACTCTCGAATATCCTGAATTTCAATACAGTCCTCAAACACACATATGAAATAGAGTAGATGTTCTGATGGTGAGAATCATACCACGTATTGTGAGAGTGAGAGTGATCGGCACGTACTGCCGAAATTAACGAATTGGAGTGCGGAGAATTTGGTGGTGCCCCTTACATCTACTCTGAATACTCCTGCTAGCTACTAGAGTCTAGTCGCGCGGTATGGGATTATTATATAGATACAATGCAGGTTATATAGATAGCTATTAGTATGGATATGCAGGATCGAGGGAGTTAGGGAAGGAAGGGCATGCTTGATCTGGTTGTAGGTAATTAATAATTTTAATTGGGAAATCTCGATTAATCGATTGATTGATTTGATTGATCGTTAGTGCATTGACCATCTAGCGCCTAGCTAGCTAGCTGGCTGGCCGGGGCCAGGGCCAGGGGGGTAAGGTACATGTAGGTGATGGGCCTTAATAATTGCGGTTCTTCCTACATACTACATAGCAGATATCGACTAGAGTATTGAAGACCTCTAGCTCTCGGTAGACCTGAAGGATCTCCAATCCAGCCCAGTTTCGAATACTCTGGTCCAGATTCCAATCCGGACCGGTGGATTTCAAACTGGGCTTAAGAGTTTGCCATATCGTGGTTTTGGAGCTCTGGATGGCGGTTTTTCAATGGGGCTTTTTGGGTCTGTAGAATACTGTTCGTTCTGGGAGAGGGGGTAGAGAGGTAGAGATGGATAGATGGGGGTGGAAAGGTGGAGTTGGAGGGGTAGGTACGGGGTGTTGGTACTGAGTGGGTTAGGGTTTTTTGAGGGGTATGGGTGGGTATGGGTAGGTAGGGTGGAGAGCAATGGACAACGCGCGTCAAAGCGGGCAATGGGAGGTTCTGGGCCAATCATTTTTGGAGTTTGAAAAACTGGTACCATGGTTGTTTTATTCACCACAGAAGTTTAATCGGTGGCTAATCTTCGCACTGGATACATGTATCTATGAAGAGCTCCTAGCTATGTTCTCAACAAGTAAAAAGAACAGAACTGGACCGCTAGTTGATTACTAACAAGTAAATAAAAGAGACATCATTTACGCGTTTAACAAAGACATTAAAGCATTGATTGATTTGCAGTGTTACAAATACCCAGCTACACGCACCCAAGAAAGCAGAAACCCAAGCCCAACTGCAAACAAAAAAAAGAATAGAAAAAACACATAAGCAACCCACGCAAAACCAGTCCCAGTCCCATGCGCCCTGCTAAATATACCTTCATTACCCCCCAGAAACTAACCAGCTACTACAGTAGCTCTCTTTCTTTCCCCCTTCCTTAACTCTCAACCCACAGCTTAAACCGGATCGCCGCGAATAGTACCATAACTCGTCCCCTGGACCCGCTCCGAAAAGACAAACGGCGCGGGCCGCTCCATGAGCCGGCCGGCCATGGACTGCTCCTTGCGCTCGTAGTACACCCACTCGAGGTAAAAGGCGTGCAGGTGGCCCGGCAGGTAGCCGAGGATTGTGAGCACGATGTTGATGAGGAGGTCCATGCCGCAGCCGGCGACTGCAAAGACACCGAGCGGGGGGAACTGGAGTATTTGTTAGTTTTGGGGGGGATTTGATTGGTAAGGTTGTTGTGATTGGAAAGGGTTGGATTGGGGGAAGGGGAGATGGGGGGAGGAGACGTACGATGACTGTCATGACGATGAGGAGGAAGGCGGAGACGAATCCCATGTTGGATGATTGGGTTGAGTTGGTTTGTTTGGTGTGGTTTGTTTGTTTATATTGGTGGTTAGTGGGCGGATGAAGCTGTGAAATTTGACTTGACTGGACTTGCAGAGGATGAGCTGTCGTGGGTGCGGAATTCAAGTGTTATAAAGGAATACGAATCGTGTGACGTCACCAGCAACCAGTCTACACACCCTGGCCCTGATCGGCGGGTGGGCTAACCGCTTTCGGGGGGAAGCACAACAGACGTTACTTGCCTGATCTGGAGGTATAGGCCCGCGGGATATGGATTTTTCTTGTTGAGGGGCCTGATAGGTTTTGGGTGGGCGAGCTGGAAGCTGGGGTTGGGGGTGGTAGTTTGATCATTGACACTCACCGCGCCCGCGGTTCCGCGGTAGATAAGCGAAATAGGCGTCAAACCTACATGTACACAGCTGCAGACGACTCGCCTTGTATATAAGCATTCGGATTTTTTTGTACTCTGAGCATATTCATTGCACCTTGTAACAGCCAAAGCGCCTACTAGCTGGGTAATTTTATGCACATCCGCTTACTGATTGAGCTTGTTGCCAGCGTTTCTTTACGTATCTGCATACGTGCTTTTGTCTTTAGAGCAAGCTGTCCTCTAATGATAAATCGTAATTATAAGGCGGACCTTCTCCTCTCTTACTTCATGTCAACTTATCAGTTCTTACATACATCGTCTCTCTCCTCCCGATAAGAACAACTGGATACATGAGCGAACACGGCGCATGATCCGGCAGAAGGTTATCATTTAACCCCTCCCCAGCTATTAGAACACTACGACGGACAACTCAAGGGGAAAGGCACCGCCTGTTCAGTTGCCATCGGCTCATGCCGACAGATTCAGTCAATATCTCGTTTCCTGGAATTCAAAAGGAGAGCATGGAAATAGGTCTCATAAGCTTGTTCAAAGTTCAGGACGAGTTCTGGGCATAGAATTGCCTCGTTTCCCCTCCCCGGTTGACAGGCTCTGTTAGAGCTAAGTAATTAATAAATTATCAATCAATCAATCAATCAGTTCTATTTGAGCAAATTACGAGTGAGAGTATATGACTAAGCACGGAATTTCTACAAATTTTGCCTTTTAAGGAGAATTACAAATTTACAGACCAATTACAATATCCTGCGGCGAGTGCGAGAACACTAAAAATGGGAAATCACTCATACGCGGCCGTCACCTAACAATATATGTTTGCGGCTGGGTACATGATTCAAGGATGTATGAGGTTTATGAAATTAGGCACTAACTCGAGAGATTCTCTATAAACATTTGTCGGGGTAAAACTAATATAAACATTGTGTTCTCTTGGCCATGGTTACCAACTCTTAGTGGGTGAGATAGGCTCGTCCGTAATAAGTGAAATACCTATGTAACTAACGTCGCGACCAGAAAGACTGACCCTAGGACTGCATAAACACGAAGCTGCGTGTATCTTCAAGGTAATGGCAGGAATATAGCGGTTCGAAATGATTTGGGCTTCCCTGATCATTAGGCTGCGAGCCATGTCATACGTTTGGCGAATTTGAATCTCAGAATATCACTCGGTCTCAGCCCATCACTCGTGTTGGGGCGTCTTGGCCTTTTAAACGGCAACCGAACACAGTCTATCCCGGCGCTGCCTAGATACATGTAACTAGTCCCTGTCATTCTCAACATCATCTCGTACCTACGAGAACGTACACCGGATTTCATGACTGACTACATCCTTTCTTAAGGCCGCTTTCAACTACCATCGTGGTATTTTCAAGCGCTTTTTTATGGTTCCATCTCCTTACACCTTGAAATATAGCTTTCATGACCTGTTCGTATAAAGGCCATTTCTGCCCCGTTGCTCAGAAATTTTTACTACATCATCGTTCGAACATTGCAAAGCATACAAGCTCAACACTCAACACTCAACACTCAATACTCAATACTCAATACTCGATACTCAATACTCAATACTCAACGCTTAAACAACCGTAACTTCTCTAGCTCTCACAATACAAACTCAACTTGCAAACAAGATCAAGATGTCTAATAACACAAGATCTCATAGAGAGACCGAAGCAGCCACAGGCTCCCGCGATCCCACTAAGTCACCTCGTGGAAAGACCACCCTGGCCGATACCGTCGCTGCCGACCCAGGCACTCCGACCAGGAAAAGCCCTATAAGAGCTACCCCTACCCGCAAAGCAACCCCTACCCGCAAAACCCCAGCCTCACCAAGCACCACCCAGCCTGTCCCCGACTCCCCTGTTCCCCGCGGCCGCCGCACCCTCGCAACAAAGCCCCCCCGCAAAATCACCAAAGCTGTCGCCCCTTCTAGCCCGGTCCGGAGGTCCTCCAGGCCCCCCGTTCCAATCGACCGCTACACAGACCCATGGATGTCAACCCGGAGGCCCTCCTCTCCCTCAAAGAGAGATATGGAAGACGAGATGGGGAGGGTGTATGAGCTGTCGGCGAATATGGGAACCGAGGAGGAGCAGAGCTACAGTTTGATGCCGTGTGCGAGGGCGGGGCTCATGGGGGCTTATGTGATAGTGTGGGGACTGGACGAGAAGGAGGGTGTTCGCAGGGAGATGATGTTGTCCGTTTGGGAGGAGCCTGAGAAGGGAGTGAAGCCTCCTAAGGCACCGAAATCGCCGGCTAAGCGTAAAGTTGCCAAGAAGGAGTCGTCGTCTAAGAAGTCTAAACCTACCAGGAAGCTAAAGGTGGTGGAGAAAGCTCCCGAAGAGTATGACGATGACGAAGTGGTGGAGGAGGAGAAGGAGGAGGAGAAGGAAGAATCTCCGAAGAAGAAAGTAATGCCCAAGAAACCGAGATCCCCAGTGAAGCCGAAGGCCCTGACTAAAGGGAAAGGGAAAGTTACAGCAGAAGTGGAGTCTCCGGAGAAGCCGAAAGCTGTGAGGAAGCCGAGATCTCCGGTAAAGCCAAAGGTGCCGGCCAAGAAGGGCAAGGCCCTACTAGCACAGGAAGTAAAGAAAGTGGCGGAATCCCCAGCGACAACTCACCAGGCGTACGTGGAGGAAGAGGACGAATTATCCCGACAGGAGCAGAAGGAGAAGCGCCAGAGAGAGCGCCGGCTCCGGCTGGCGGGTGTTAAGCCTTCATGGTATAGTTCGGACCCGGACGTGTAGGTCAACGAAGTCTTGACTATTACCGGATTTGTAGGGAGGGAGATCGATGGTGATCTTGGATGTTGTCTTTTGTGGTTTCGTAAGTGCTGTTTTGATCATTACCCCCACATTCATTTTGCTGGTTTGTTTCCTATGTCATACGTGTTTTTGCTTGTGTTTGCGCTGTTTGAATATGTTGTTTCTGTTTCTGTTTCTGTTTTATGCTTACCTATCACACTCGTTTGATATTTCCCTATGTTGCGTGCTTTTGCGTTGCTTTTGCGTTCTGTTTGTGTTGCTGGCTATTGAGGCATTATTAGAAAAAAAGCTACCTAGTTATTAGATTAGATTAACGAATATCGAGTTAAATCACATCGGTTTACTTACGCCCCATCTCGATCGCTGGTACTTTTCTGCAATTACGTGAGGGCGTACATATGTACCCGCCTCACGATGGGGATAGTTATATAAGTGAATAAGGATAAGTGGCAATTAGGGAGTACAAGGTATTTAGCTCATTAAAGGTAAGTTACAGTTAATTACTTATGCTTCTGTGGTTAGTTACTCCCAAGCCAATCACATATGATCAATATTCTGACAAGTGGGCTCAGGCCCTGTAGGTCAACCAACGTACAGACGACAAATCACTCACCCCAACCCAACCCAACCTACGATTGCAGCTAGCGAGTGATACCCCATGATTAAGAATTACACCGGAAGCTAAGTATTCCTTCCCAGAATTCCTATCTATCCGTCTACCATCACGAAACCCAACCCATCAAAATCGTGTTCGTCATCTGTTCATCGGGAATTTTAATAGATCTCACACGCTATCTCGAGCTCCCCTTTTCTTTTCCTCCCCGCACGTAGGTACATGCACCCGGGGCCAAATCACCACGCGCGAAATCGCATTATCATTACCCGCCTAGAACAACAGCACAACACACAACAACAGCCTTCTGCTGATGAATCTACGACACAAATCCGATCGTTAGAAAGAATCTCGATGTTTTTTTGCACCACCCGAGGAGTTATGTAGGAAGAAGTGTACTCTAGAGAGGGAAGGAAGGAAAGATCCCCTCTTCACCTTCCCGCACTCCCGTGGTGCATTTTTGCTTGGCGATACAGGGTTGCCTTATCGCAGAAAACAAAATACATTCAAAAAAAATAAAATAAACAATAGGTACTCGACATATGTATTGTATTGTACCATATGTCTTGCGAATCGGATCGCAGCCCCCCCCCCCCCCCCCCACAGCCCAGCTCTCCACTCACGCTCGAGAGATAGTACAACAGCGAAACCCCACCTTTGATGGGGCGGGAGGGGGGGCACGAAAAAGCTTAAATTTCCTACAGCGAGCGAGTCCAGGGTTGCACTGCAGCATCATCAATCATACACAGCATACAGTCACTCACGGGGTGAAGGCGGATCCTGTCTAATGGCGGTCAGGGATTTGAGGCCAATAGAAGAGTTAGGTTTTGGACGCCAAGGGCAAATTACTGCAAACAGAACCATCAGACAGGATCCGCCGTCAGTAGGTGAGCGACTGTACATACACAGCACAGCATCTCGGAAGAAGACGGTCGGTCACAACGCTGCTTTTGTGAGTACTGTGGTATATATAACGGGACGATAGACGAATGGTCTCATCTGAGTATGTAACAAGGGCCATGGGAAGTTTATATCATAAAAGTAAACAAAGAGGAGAGCTGTTTTTGTTTGGACACGTGGGAACGGGGAAGGGGAGTGAGTGGGAGAGGTGATGATTTGATGGAGAGGTTCCGCGGGTGGCTTCCTTCCTCGTTCTTTGCCCGTTCCTCGCCGTATGCGAAATCGGGTCTGCTACGTGACTACAGTACTAACTGCGAGGTATCATACTATCTAATCTACTACTCTACCTACAGTACCGATATGTCGCCTATATACGTCTAAGGTATCACTTTTTTTTGCATCCTCATGTGGCTCTACGTAGAGTACCGGGGACTGCCGTAGCCTTATGGTCATGGGTAGTGTTTGAAGAGAGAGGGGTCCCGGGCCCGGGGGGTGACAAACAGAAAGTGAAGATATATTCCAAATGTCACATTGGACCGGGGGGGAAGGAAATATGTAGACGTCATTACATTCACAGCCTTCCTTTACTCCTCTTCCTCTTCCATCTCTTCTTTTCACGCCCGGCGCCCGTTATTTGTCGGGGCCGCGTGGGGAGGGCACGATATCACATACTCTATACTCTCGACGCGGATCCCATCCTGGTACACCGTACATGACTGACTGATTTATTTACTTGGTAACATTTCTCGTTTCGGGTGCTGCTCTGCCCTGCTGATATATGAGGAGGAGAGGAGAACTACCGTTATTCCCGGCTCGTCGTCTTGATATACCCGGGTTAGGTACCGGCCCTTTGTAGCTACAAATGTAGTACCTACATGGGTACAATAGTTGGAGGTAGTAGAGTAAGTGAGGTGAGAATAGGCGCTGCTACACTACCTATGATATCATGAGAGATGTACTCCGCATTGCGAATTTTAATTTACCGTGCCTCTCCTTCTCTTTTCTGCCTTCTTCATGCCCTGTCTTGCCCTGCCTGTCCCGCCCTGTCTATCTGTCTGTCTTACCTGTACTCACCACCTTACCCGCGTTGCCTCGCGGTAGAAGTATCTCCCGGTAACTTGTACTACTACCTACTGACTGTCTACTGACATGACTTCTACTAATTTGCCTACTAGCTAGCTCGAACCACAACCACCCCTTTTTCTCTTTGCATTTTTCCGACAGACACGCGCAGTGACAGTCAGTGACAGTGCAGGCAGCTGAAAGAATTACTTTTTTTTTTCTTTTTTGCCCTTCTTCATTCTGCTTCTGCTTCTGCCTCCTAGTCTTTTTTTCTTTTTTTTCGGTTTTACCCTTCCAGATGGATGTGATATATCCGCGCGCGCCGACGACGACGACCACGACCACAACTGGCACGACGACGACGAACATCTCTCTAGCTACGGGGTCTGCCCATAATGTGCAATGATATCATACCCCATCATTTTCAGGAGCACACATTCAAAAAAAAAAAAAAAAAAAAACTAATACACATCGGAAAGAAAGAAAAAAATAAAAAATTTAAGATTAGATGAGCCTCCCTAAAAGCAAATGCAAAAGCAAAAAAGATTTCGCCACCGCCCTACTCTAGAGTACACGCTTACCAGCGTAAGAACCAGAAAATGCAGTTGCTCAGGGCAAGGATAATTTGTATGGAGTGGCGTCGTTCTCTCATACAAATAATCCCTGTTTCCGTTACTTGCATTTTCTGGTTCTTTTGAGGGTAAGCTGTACTCCTAGACCCTAGAGTAGGTACTCTCTATGTAGCTCCAGAGTACCGGCGGCGGCCCTTAATATCCACACTTCACTTTTCCACCCTGCGATCCCAGCCCCTTAAACGGCCAGTCAGTCACGGGTAAAATCAGCAAAAAAAAAAATCAAAAAAATCAAAGCGTGGTAGGTATGATATCATTGCCAACGTACATATACGGCGGGCGGGTGAGAGTTTCAGGATATATGTGAACCACTTCGTGCGTGAGTCTTCACCGCCAGCAATGTACTCTAGCTAGCTAGGGTAGCGGGATGATCACGATGATATTCCGTGGTGTTTTGGGTTTGCACTTTACGCCCTTTGTAGATTTGTAGATGATGGCAACACTTTTTTATTTTTATTTTTCGTTTTTTATTTTTCGTTTTTTGCTATTTACCCCGCCCCCCCGGAATAGGGTAGGGCGAATAGATAGATAGATAGATGATAGACAGATCCCTATCTGTACATATCTACTCTTCTCTACCACAAAAGTGACGGGGGGAGGGAAAAAGAAACGAAACGAAATGCTGTCTGCAACCGAGCGAGTGAGGAGACAGACAAGGCAAGCAAGCAAGCTGTGCGCAGGTGGTCGTCAAAACAATGGCCTTGAATTTCTGATGATCCCTGTAGGTAGGGTGCTGTATGTAGATATGTAGAGAGAGGTAGCAAACAAGGATAGAAAACAAAAAATAATCCGACAAATTTTTTTTTTTTTTTTTTAACCTGCAGTAGATAGAGTAGATAGAGTACACTGATTGATAAAAAGAGAGAGGAGGAGAAGAAGAATTAAATGGAATGGTGCATACAAACATAAACATATCAAAAAAAAAAAAAAAAAACGCACAACCCACACACAGAGAGAGATATACCGAAAGAGATAGCGACAGACAGAAAAAAAAAGTATGATAACTAAGTAATTGCCGAGCGCATCAATGTCTGCTCCCGTTTCTCTTATTTCTTTTTTTTAATTTTATACTCCCACTTTTACCCCACTGTCTCGTCTGCCGGTTTGCGATGGGGGTGGAAATTCCCGTCCACGACCGGGCAGACAAGACAGACAGACAATTCGGCGGCAAGTTCCCAACCAGCCCCAACTCCCATACCCGTACCTGCTGCTGCTGCTGCTGCTGCTGCTGCTGCTCTCCACACACTCACACTCCCGCGCTGCACGTGGTGCGCCTGTGCACATCAAGTTTTCCACCCTCTCCGCGTCCCCATCTCCCTTCCCTTAGCACTCCTATAATCCTCATAACCCCCCTGTCCGCTTTTCTGCTGCTGCTGTTGCTCCCCATCAGTCTGGACGTGCTGCTGCTGCTGCGGTACCGGTGGTTGAGGAGGAGGAGGGAACGGCGGGAACCCTTGCTGCTGCTGCTGCTGCGGTTGCTGGGGCCACGGATATCCGTACCCCTGCTGAAATTGCTGGTGCATCATCTGCTGGAAACCCGGTGGTGGCGGCGGAGGAGGCGGGGGCGGCCAAAACTGTCCCTGGGGGTATCCGTACGGCATTTGCGGCATAGGAGGGGGAGGGGGAGGAGGGGGGTAGCCCTGCGGAGGGGGGTAATGTTGTTGTTGTTGCTGCTGGGCGAGCTCGGGTGGGTAATTAAGATGCGGCTGTGGTGGAGGGGGCGGGATGCCCTGTAGGGGCGGCTGCGATTGCCCAAATGAGGGACGCGCCGGGGACCGGCTGCGGGAGCGCCATGAGGGAGATCTACTTCTCGACTCGCGATACCTCCTTCGGCCACCTGATCGCGATCGCGATCGAGAGCGAGATCGCGAGTATGAACCGCTGCGCTCGCTATCAGAGTAGCTCCCTCGTCTGCGACTCCTGCTAGCCCTGCCCTCTGACCGGCTACTCTTGCCCTCCGCTGCCGCGCGCTTCTTCATTCTCATGTTTTCGCAGAAGCTGCGACTCCATCCATAGTAGCCTTCACCCTCCCCGGCGCTGCCAAATAACCCGCCCACTGCATCTGGATCGCCAGCGCCAATGTCTGCGCCGGAAAATATCCCTTCGACAGAGGCAAGGAAGCCCTTGACCGCTGTCGCAAGGGGCTCACTTGGGGTGAGGGTCGAAAACTGGATCGGCTTGACCATGCGCGGGTTTATGGGGGTTGGCGCATTAGGTTTGAGGTGCGGGAGGATGTTAGCTGCCGGAAGATCGTAAAAGGGAAGCGACGGGTCTCCATGGAACGGCGGAAGGAGCAGTGGGCGCTCTGTCGCTGGCTTCACACGTGGAGAGGAAGAGGACTTGTTCCCTGCTGCTGCGTCGCGAACGGCAGTGAGAAGCTCGGCCGTGAATGGCGCGGGGTAGTACGACTGGGTTTTCCATAGGTTGAGGAGTCGCTCCACCTTGGCAAGTTGCTTGACGGCTCCAGGGGCGATCGCTGCGGTGAAGAGGTCTTTGAGAAAAGTTTTAATCTCCTCCGGAAATGTTGGGGACGGCTCATTGCGAGTCGTATGATGTAGTATATCGTTGACAAGGTACAGCATATGCAGCCTCTGTCTCCTCGGGCTCGGACTCGGTCCTGAAGGAGGCTTGGTGAGTGATGGTGAGAGGGCGACCAAGTACTTTCCGAGCAGGACGACCCTAGCTCGCGACGTCACGTAGCGTAGAATCCATCGTTTACAGTTCTTGAGGAAGAGTGATGACCCGGTTAGTCTTGATATGACAGTAAAAAAAAAACCACCCCGAAGCGAAGAGAGGGGGGTTAGGGTAGTAGGTGCTTGTGTGTATCAACCTGGATGTTTGATGGGGAGCAGATGGTGAGAGCCTTGTTTAGCAGGGTGTGGAAGAGGGTGATCTCATCTAGAGGCACGGCTGTGGGGTCTGGACGAAGGAGACCACCGCGGAAAGAAGCGCGGGCGATTGAGACAGCGACAGCGGTAGTAGCCATCTCAGGAAAGAGAGAGGGGTCGAGAGAGTGTGGGGGAGGGCCGAGATTGAGGTCCCTGAGGGGTCGGGGGTGGTTATTTTTTTTTTGGTGAGGGGTCGTGACAAAGGAGGACAAGCAAGTCGACGTGGATGGGATCTGTGTGATGATTATGAAATTTCTTGGTCCAACGTTGTTGGGTGGATACTGATTTTTTTGGGGGTGGTGGTCAATGTATGTATTGGTGTGGGTTGTTGAGATTTGTTGGCTACCTGATGAGGCGACGTGACGTGACCTGGGGGGAGGCGATGAAGAGAAAAGTCTTGTCTGGTATGTAGAGAGCCTAGTAGGAGTAGAGTATGCCTCAGAAAGAGGTATGGTATGAAGTATAGTATGTAGGGGTTACCTAGTGAGAGTGAGAGGAGAGAGACAGAGAGAGAGCGCGAGTGAGAGATTGATTACTCGTAACTGGACCTGTTTCTGTGGTGAGTGAGTTCTGGTGATGGATGGATGTGGATGTATGGATTGTCTGTCGTTGATGTTGAGGTCTGATTGATTGATTGACTGATTGATAGGGCGATATACGCTTTGATACCAGTGTGATCTGTTCTTTAATTCTGTTCAGCAACTTTCATAGGCACTCGAGTCCCCACTACTACTCTATTTCCATAAGGCTGCTGCTGCTGCTGCTGCTGCTGCTCGTGGTTTGACGTATTCCTGTCTGTCGATGTAGGTATCATGTATGTACGTAAGAGTAGGTCTTATTAATCCCTCCTTCTTACACTTCACTTCTCGATGACGCTCACAGAAGGTAATGATCTAGTGATTGCACAAGCATGCCAAGCCATTCTTCAGTAACACCTCTCTCTCTCTCTGGCTCGCAACCGTTCTTTCATGCCCCGTGGTTGTGTTTCCCGCACTCGATACCGGGGCTCTCCGAGCGCAGACCCTGACCCTGATGATGCTGCCCTCCCTCCATCCAATCACGATACCAAGCATCCTGAAATGGACCCTTTCCCTCTAAGAAATACGCATCCATCCATCCATCCACTCCCGTCCCCTCCACCCCCTTTGCTTTTTCCCACCCATCGTGTGTAGGTAAAAAGTAGACTACCTATCTCCCTCTCTTCCCACCGGGCAATTGTCGAATGAGCTTCGCTCCGCTATAACCAGGGGTCGCAACTATTAACATCCCCACGCATACGGCTGCTCTCTTCGTCTCCGCCGACAGCTGGAGATCCCCAAGAAACCGATTCAACGCTCCGATCCTGTGCATTTAATCTTCCATCGAGACAACTTCCTGACCTGACCTTTGGCTGGCTGGCCCCATCATCGTGACAAAACTGGCCAGGAAACTACATACTCTACATGATGCTCACTCTACCTCCGCTGGCTTCTGCTATGTTCTGCTGTTCTTCTGTTATGCTGATGCTATGCTGCTTCATCATCAGCATCATCAGCCATCCCTCTAGAGTGCTTGCTAGCTAGCTAGTGAGCTAGCTACATAGCCAAAGTACCCTTCCTTCCCCTTCCTTCCTTCCTTCCTTCCTCCCCGCCCACCAGCACCAGCACCAGCACCAGCACCACCACCGCCGCCGCCCCGGTTCTGCAGGTCTGCACGGAAAAAGGAATTAACAGCACATTGCTTGCTTGCTTGCGTGCAGTGCTTGAGTGCTTCAGAGCTAGAGGCATAACAGCAGAGTGGTTTCATAGATTAGGGCATGCAAACTACTCTGGCATGTGTTCTGCTCTATTCTAGGCACACGTACGTAAATACGTACCTACAGCAGACAGCAGCAGCGGCGCGCAGGCAGGCGCAACAGTTCAGAGAAACTAGGGCTTTGTATGTACGTAAAGCCCACCTAACCTACTCTACTCTAGAGTTTCCCCAGAGCTAGAGAGCTAGGTAAGTAGAGCGGGTAGGTAGGTACAATACATACAATCCGGTACGCGCTTCCAACTGCTGCTCTCCAGCTCTACCCAGAGTTAATTGTTGCCGTGTGGTGCGCGCGCGCAAAGGAAAGGAAAGGAAAGGGAACTGAGTATGTAGAGTGGAGGAGTAGCTGTTACTCCAGAGCATAAAAATCATGTGCCTGTTATGCGGTGGCCTCCTCTACTCTAGCCCTTAGCCTCTGCCTCTGCTCACTGTCATGCCATGCTCGTGATCGTGGAAAAATAAAAATAAAAAAAATAGAGTATGTAGATAGATAGGGTGCTCGAGCCAGCCTGGCCCTGCTGTACGGCACTGTAAGCTGTAAGCTGTCTGTCCTATCTTTGCCTACTTGCTTACCTGCCTACCTGCCTCGTGTAAGTAAACCAGGGCGGGCAGGCAGGCAGGCACAAATAATACCATCCTTAATGTAACGTACGTGCTTCGCTCGTCATTTCCGCACCGTGGTTCCGCCTTTGCTCGTGAGAATTGCGAGAGAGAGAGAAAAAAAAAGTATTCTTGCTTTCGAAGGCAGCAGGCAGGAGAATGCAGGCAATTGCAATTGCTAAAACAGAATAGATGATTGCATTATCTCCGCAACCCCCCCCCCCCCCCCTTTCTAGCACCCTCTTCGGCCTTCAAAAGGCTGCAGTATCACACCGCCGCCCCCCCCCCCCCTTCCCCTCCCCCTTCAGATCTCAAGAGAGGAGAGAGAAAAAAATAAGAAAGCGTCAAACAAGGAAATGCAAAGGAAGGGCCTCCTATCCCAACATTATCCTAGCTACTATGAAACTGAAACTATAACGAGAGAAAAAAAAGGTCATGTAACCAAAAAACACCGTGTCATGTGCTCCAAAGAGTCCTCTCATTGAACAAAGGAAACCCACTCGATCGTGAAGAAAAAAAAAAAAATCTGGTGTCCTCCAGCCCCCAGCCATCCATCTGTCCCATCCCACCCATCGTGTCCTTTCCTGCCATGTCGTCCTTCCCCTACCAACCCAACCAACCCTCCTTCATTGCCTTAAGTTAAAACGTAGAATAGAGAAGAAGAAAAAAACCCACTTTTCCGCAATAAAATAGAGTAAAATAAAAAAATAAAAAAAAGACACCTGCGATAAAAAACAAAGCTAGCCGCCCACCCAATTTTTCTAGATTCGCCATTCCCATCAAGTAAATAGGACACAATAAAAAAAGCAACACTAGTAGAAAGGAGAAAAAAGGTATAATATAAAAAAACGACCCCACCGCCCCCGGAATGCAGCTCTTTTGTAGTCCAGAACGAATGACAAAATGAAACTTTTTTTTTGTTGAGTATATGCTGTCTGTGATACCAGTATATGATTAGGTGGATTAGATCACGATAGCGACAACCCCAATGCCTCAACAGCTCTCGAAAGGTCATCTTCAGCAACAATGACAGTACCCGCTCTTGCGGTACTCAGGTAACTCATTTCAACGGCCTCGCTCTTATCGAAGTAGGTTCCTGATGTCCCACCGACCAGCTTTCCAGCTACACCACACACGATACCGGTTGAATCCACCGGAAGCCCTCTCAAATCAAGCACAATTGGGATCAACACATCCTCCTTCGACCCTAGCAAGACATCATCATTCCCAAACATGCTTAACATCTCCTTCTGCAATAGCAGCGATGCCGGCTCTGCATCTGTCAACGTCACGGAGAGGAATTGCGGCCGGCTGATCAAACACTTTACGAGACCAAGATATAGCCCTCTGTCGTCACCTCCTCCGCGGCCTTTACTAAATGAGCGACGTGCGGCGCAGAGAATGAGCCTTGTGCTTTTGTTGACTATAGGTGTGACGTTCTGTTTTTGGAGGGCATCAAAGGTACGGGTTTGAAGGTCAGAGAGGGTGGTAGTGGGTGGAGGTGAGGGTGGTTGAATTGTCAGGTTGGAGGAGGTTGAGCTGCTTCTGTGGTGGGGTGTAACGAAAGCTTCAGTGTGCTTTTCGAAGACGAAGCCACGGCGCTGGAGCGCTTTCGTGACATGGCTGCGCGCAGTGGAGGGCACAAGGATGTAGTCGCTGAAGTAGGTTGTAATGAAGAAGATTGATCTGTATATAATATCATGTCAGAATTGAGTTCGTCTGATGTGTGTGTAGTATGAGTCATTCAATCCCTGAACACGCCCACTCTCCGACAACCGTGCGCTGCACTGTGAATCTGTAAAATGTATAAGGAGTGTAGAACTTACACTCCAGCCAATGCAAGCGGGCTCGTCAAATCGAGAACCCGCTGCCCCGCATCCAGTCCCTCTCCGTCCACCTGAATTGCCATGAACTCCTCTGAGGCAATCATAACGTCGCCTCTATGGCTAGTCTCGAGAGTCTTGATGATAGGCGCGAACCATTTCTCAACGCTTTCCCGGGAACACACGACAGAGCACTCGACAGGGGTGACTGAGATGTTGACAAAGTCTTTTATTGAGGACGAAGGTCTGTTGGGTGAAGGATAGTCGGGCACCACGCTCTCGTCGTCGTCGTCATCCTCGGGCTCCGAGTCATTGCCGTCCTTCCCTTCACCATCCGGTGATACTGGTGATAGCGGTAGGATCAATGATAGGATCGCTTGAACGAAGTGGGGGTAGAGGGGAAGCGGTATGTGAATGAGACATAGTCGGCACTCCTGCAGTATTTTCACGGTTGTGTGTAAGCTTGTGTAGACACCGCCGCCATACGGTTCACTGTTAATCTTCCCATCACGACAGTAGGCGCCAATGGGTATATCGAGGGACTCGGCGGAGGAGTAGGCAGAGATTGAAGAGGTACTTCGAGACCTCGTTGAGCCTGAAGGTGATGCAGTGCCATCAGAGGCAGAGCTTGATGCGTATGACCGACTTGATCCTGCCATTGAAATACCGCCGATGGTTGAAGTTGCTGAAGATATTGAAGTGGTAGAGGAGAAAGAGGAGGAGGAGGAAATTGAAGAAGCGGAGGAAGTGGAAGAAGATATAGATTTGGGAGTGGGGATTGAATGTGGGTTACTAACAAGAAATTGGATTTGAGCACTCATGTAGGTCATGAAGCTTTATCCGCCAACTTTATAGTCCCTCTTTCTCTCTTGTGCTTTTGTGATTGCTTATTTTTCTTTCTGAGATGAGATTTAGATGTGATCTCTGGGGAGGGGGGGAGGCTAAATGGGGCAGTAGAAAAAGAACAGAACAATGTTTAGCTTGGGGTTCGTGAAGAAGATGTAGTATGACGAAAGAGAACAAAACAAATTCTTAGGAAAACAAGATTTCTAAATTGCAGAACAGTTGAAATAGGGCAATGGTGCAGGTAACTGGGTAGAGAGGGTAGGTAGAAACAATAAATAATCTTAAAGGAGACTAACCAACTGAATTATTATTTCTAAGATCAACTCCTTTTGAAGAGGCGACGGGACGGGCCCTTATGTATGTAGGTGTAGTATGAATACCAGAATATCCTAGGTAAGGTAGGATTGGGTGGGGTGGGATGGGATGTAGCTTATCCTGTTGTAGGTACCGCTGAGGTATGTAGAGTATGGTATACACTTCCGAAAGGACGAGAGCGGGTACAGTTCACCTTTCAAACCCAGCTGCTGGTTGTCCAGGGTAGTACACGAGAAGAGCCGACAGTTTGGGATCGCAGAGAAGTGGTGGGTTGGGTTAGAGTAATGTTGGTGGGAGAAAAGGCTGTTGGATGTGGATGTGATGTGCGTTGAAAGCGGTCTTGCTGTCGTATTGTATGTAGGAGGACGATGTGGAGGGGTAACTACATCTACTACTACTGCTTGACAGCGATTAGACTTACACAGTAGAGTACCTTATTGAGTAGAGTATCGACTGCTTCTAGCTAGGATTCTTAGTTTTTTTTTTTCCCTTTCCCTTTTTTGGGAGAAGGGGGGGGGGGGGTGTGGTTGTGGGCTGTGGGCGGTCCCGCCGGGGATGCCACCATGCAGGATAGACGAGCGCTGTGATCTCTGGGCTCTGGGCAGATCTCAGTCTATTGTCAACTACGCTCACCCACCCACCTAACTTACGCACCCTACCTATCATACACCATGTACTCTATGTGCTCTACTCCTCAAAGTACTCTACCTACACCTACCTGCTTCTGTCAGTTCTGTAACGGCAGCGGGGATTTCTCGTTCAGGCGAGAGCAGCGTGGCTGCAACTTCCAAACTGCGTGGGATATACCCGGAGAGAGAGACCGTTCCAAATTGTCCCCTCTGTCCCCTCTGTCCCCAAATTACTGCCCGCCTATCAATGGCGATTCGATGTACCGTTTCATACTGGTTCCCACAAAAAGTGCAACGCCACTCAGTGGACACTGTGAGACACGACCTTTGCTTTTTTGGGATAATTTCATATTTGGTTCTGTTGTCTCGAAACTTCACGATGTCGTGCCGCTGCCTGATGCTCTCTCTCCTCTCCCCCTGCACATACTCTACTCTAGATATAGCAGAATTGATATCAAAAAAAATTTATTAAAAAAAAAAAAATAGTAATCCCCTTATGGATAGACGGACGGACAGCAACAGTTACTGGAACCAACTCTTCAACCCAATATCATCATAGAGTAAGCATCATAATCAACATAATCATAATCATAATCAGCAGCAATAAAATCGCATTTACTTGCGCAGAAAGGTTATTATTATCCCGGCTGCACTGACTGTACATGTACCACACATGGACTTATCGCAGCGATTCAATGTACCACCCGCCATTCCTCCCCCGGTACTAGGCCTGTTTAACGGTACCCTTAGATGGTACCGGTCAACGAAGCGAGAGAGAAAAAAAAATCGGGCTCAATCTTGTCCCCCCACGCCGTCTGTAGGCAATAAATGGTTCGGCACGCAGCAGAAGCAGCTCAGAGTTGACGACTTAGGCACAGGTCTGCCTAGTATGAAAAGACCCTTCTCAGACGTTCTTACGCTTTACAGGATAGTAAAGTACCCCTACTACCCCAAATAAGTACCTGTATGTGCCCTATAACCACCCAATCCTCAGGCTCGTGGTACGCGATTAAGGTGGTCGCTAGATGTACCTGCTTACAGGGCCGTCAAAAAGACTGACGATCCTCTGCTCCGTGGATTCCGGTCCGCCGCGATTCAGTCGATGCTCGGAACGGCCGCGGGTCGTCTCGCAATGCGGAATGACGGGGATTGCTGACGCGATGCCTTAATTTTAGATTTTTTTTTTCTCTCCCTCCGATGCTCCCCCGTCCGTCTTCGTTCTCGGGCATTTTTTCATGAATAGCTGCGCTGGTGATAGCGTATTGGAGCTCGAGCGGTGAGAGAGAAAGTGAGAAGCAGAGAGATAGAGTGAAATAATCATATGGAAGCGGAAGAATAGACCATGCAACGGGCAACGATTGGAAGTTCGATTTGAAAGTCATCTGCCGCAAACATTTTGCTTGCTTCTCGGACGGACCCTCTGCTTCCTACTCAGGCGATTACAGACATACAACTCGTTCTTTTTTACATGTACAGCGGTACTCGTACGTACTGTGCACTCCTGCAGATCACAGGCTTTTTTTTTCTTGTTTCTACCGACGCAGCGCGAGACAGAACCGTCCCAAAGATCGAGGGCTGTCGAAAAAAAAAAAAAAAAAAAAAAAATCAACCCCTTAAGGAGGGGAAAAAGAAACGTTCTTAGGCTTGTTCATATCGATCGGGCTTTCTCGCACGTGTTCCCGAAATATCAGTGTCTGTTGGTTCTTTCAACTCTCCCCGGTAAGAGTAAACGGCCTTGCCATATTGGAAACCTTATGAGGAACGTGGGGGGAACCATTCCAGTCTTTGTAATCGTACTATACCCTTTCCTCTTCTGGCACTGATAACTTACCATCTGGTTTATGATAATCTGTCCTAGATACCATATGCACGATACAGTAGAGTTGCAGAGTGGGGTATTTGACCTTTCCAGGTAGAGGACACAGGAAAGAGACTTGAGAGACTCGCCGGGTTTATTCAGGTATGTGCTCGTGCTCAGAAAGATTGCTGACTACGACTTGTTACAAACTCGCAAAACAAAGAGTGTTCTCTACACGATGCCAGAATTGGTGAAGGAGAGGTTCGGGGGACCAGTCGGCACGGCACAAAGGAATCCCTAAACCCACGTGGGGAAAGAGCATAGGCGAGAATGTGCTCGAGGGATTGGTGTTAAGAGGGGTAAGCTATGACTGGTAAACCAACAACCACTCAGCGTGAGTCTTGTCTCCCAGCCATCACAGCAACGCGGATTCCGTATTTTCATCTGGTGGGTTGGTTCATCTCTATGAAGTTCAGCTTGTTTTGAAAAGCAAAAATGTGGGGAAGTCTCGTGCAGCTGCTGAACGGATTGGGCGAAACGTCCTCTCCTCACAGAAAGGAGATGGGTGGGGGTCGAAACGTTCGTCAAATGCGGGATGATGTCACGGCTAAAAAGCGGCGACAACGGCTTCGTCGCTTATTTTTTTCGGACATATCGCTTATTTGTGACTGACAGAAGGGGTGCTAATCTAGTGACCTTGACCCCGACTAAATACTTCGGCGGTTGCTGGTGTAGCTACCATTTCTAGAATTATTAGAAATAGGCTATCATTCCTTGATTATGCGGTTGTTGTAGATTTCGGGGGAGACATTCTTATAAACCTCTCACCATTCCCGTTATATTGCTGGTGGAAACCCATTTCCCTAGCTTGACATTCGTTTTACGGGTATAATACCAAAAAAGGGTATATATTCGTTATCCCACTCCAAGAATAGGGCAATATTATGGTATTCTTTTTATAACGCCGGTTTACCTAATTCCGTATTATTCACTGAATTCCGCAGTCCTACAGTACCGATTTCACCCCTCTTTTCGTACTGTACATGTAGTTTTCTATTGAAAATTACTAGCCTCCTTGAATCCTGAACAACTATATTCTTTTCTTTTCTTTTCTTTTTTTTTCATTCTCTATGAGCACATTTGGTATGATATGTGGTACAACTGAACAGTACGAAATTAGTAGAGGATGCTAGATTAAAGCAGAATCCGGAAGGAAGTGAGTATATTGTTACTACAAACATCACTAGTGTTTTTGAGTATGTACTTAGTATCGTGGCGAATTAATCTACTCCCAGTTTGGAGTTTTAAATAATTGAGTAACGAATATCAATATCCGCTTTTATTACCATTGGGGCCTTGGAAAGCTAGAAATGGGGCTGAGGATTCCGGGATGATTTAGCACTATCTACGTGTAACTAACCATCTACAAAAATCTAATCCCTTCCTCCTATATCATATGCTGTCGAGTAAATTGTGGTTTAACGAAGATTATTAGATGTTCTTCTCAGCCACACGTGGCTGCAATATTTTACCAGCCACCAGAATACAACTTTTCTATGTATCCACAGCTCGTCACTCGCTTGAGTTTGGAATTTCTAGAAATCCCCATCCTGAACAACACACTTCTAATCAAGCCAAACTAAGTGGTATATTGGGAAACAACACGCTCTTGAAGGAGTGCTGTTTCCCGTCGTTACCATCACCATCTCGTTCTCTAACGCTGTCTTCTTCACTCCTCTGGTCTCTGGTCTCTGGTCTCTGGTCGTCTTCCCCTCTTCCCCTCTTCCCATCTTCTTCATCTCTGACATCATCTCTTGTTTCTCCGGGTCTTTAAATAGACTTGTACACACGAAAAAAAAAATATAGAGCTTCGAATCGACTTTGTCATCCATCTACCCTCACACTATAAATCTTCTTCCCATTATCTAATTTCGCTTGGAATCCCTCTCCACTTCATCCATCTCGCAAGTGCTCATCTTTTTCGACATCAACTATCACTACGTGTCAAGCTTAAACCATCCTATCCTGACAATTTGATTTCCTTGAACCATGGACCAAACACATATAGTTGATAGTGGCCCTGTCACCCCCAAAGCTCGCCGTATGTCTGGAAGCCCCATGAGCAACAATACCTATTATCGTGGTGATCAAGGGCGGTTTCCCACTATCTCTTACACCACCTACCCAGATACCGGTGGTAAGGGTCAGAACGGTGCTATTGAGGTAGGGCATCTATTTTTCC